GTTCTGACGTTATGTCAAAGCCGTCTACGTCACTTAGCTTTTTTTTTTGTTTGTTTAATAAATAAACAAAATAATCTCAGAACTTGTCAAGAAAAAAAAAAAAAGATTCTTACACCTATTGAATGCCGTAGAGATGGAAAGAGAATTTCAACAAATATAACAAAAACAAATTAAAACTCACTCCCTTGTCTCCACAAAATGAGCAAGGAGATATAAAACGTCCAGCTACAGTAACAGTTTTCTGCGTTTCTTAGACTTTCAGCAATATATCTTTCAAAAAACAATAACTGTTTTAAACAACAACAGTTAATAGTATGTATTTTTACTCTGTTTGTCTTTTATTTTCTCTCCTCTCAGATGACGCCTTTATTAACCCTCAGTTGGCCAAAATCTTCGAGCGTGTTCGACAGAGTGCAGACTTCATGCCGTCTAAACAGATGATGGTACAGTACGGGTTGCTGAAGTTAACAACAGAAACTCATTAAACTGAGTTCACAGATGACACAACGTCCCTTCTCTCTGCAGAAAGCCATCTGCAGTGACCTCGGCCCAAACTGGAGAGACAAGCTCGAGTACTTTGAGGAAAAGCCGTTTGCAGCAGCATCTATCGGTCAGGTGCATTTGGCGAGACTGAAGGACGGCAGAGAGGTAGCCATGAAAATTCAGGTGAGAGGAGTGTTTGTACAGAGATAAAAACACAGAAGTAAACTATGACAAAATACAAAAATGACACAATCAAATCTGTCCTTTCAGTACCCTGGAGTTGCCAAAAGTATCGACAGCGATGTGAATAATATCATGACTGCTCTGAGTTTAAGCAACGCTCTGCCTGAAGGTAACATTGTTGGAGTTTTTCCATATCATTTTTATGATAACAGCTGGTATTGTCTGATGTCAGTAATCTCTGCTATTGTCAATAGACTTTCCTACATAAGCAGCATAAATGTCCTGATTTTCAGTTGTTTGACAATTGCCCTCCTTTCACAGGTCTGTTTCCTGAGCACCTCATTGAGGTTATGAGCCGTGAGCTGGCGCTGGAGTGTGATTACATAAGAGAGGCGAAATGTGCCAAAAAGTTCCAGTGAGTTGTTACCACATATTCTTACTACATATTACAGCATTGATCCTTACTGTGTATCAGCGGCTTCCAACCTTTTTTTAACTCCCATTAATGTGAAGCAATACTTGCTTCTGATTCCTCATCATGGATTGGACATCACCAAAGCAGTACAAAAGTGCATAAAATAAAATAAAAGAACCTGTGTTCTCGCTCACTAACGACTACTAGCTACTATGTCCCTAACTACCTATCAAAGTATGACAGTAAAGTCTTAAACAACGTGCACAATTTCTAGGTTCTGGGGATGTTATGCTCTATAGTTCTCCATGCAACAAGAGTGAAACTATTTCCTCTCACAGATCACAGAAGCAACTGATGAAAGATGAGCCATGAAATTTAAGTTTGTGCCTAAATAAAAGGTGGGATACATAAGAAGGTGCTAAACCGTGAAGAGCTTTAAAAACAAGTAAATGTACTATATAATTAGTTCTAAATGCTACAGCAAGCCAGTGCAGAGAAGCTAAAACTGGAGTGATGTTCTCTCATTCCAGTTTTACGTAAAACTCTTGCTGCCGCATTTTGTTATAGTTGCAGCCTATTAATAGGGGATTACAATAGTGCAATCGTGAAAAAAACACGCACAACATTTTGGCATCTTCCAAGGCGAGGAAGGGTCTTACACACTGACAATGTTTATTAACTGAAAAAATGCAACCTTTGTCAAAACTCAGACAATCAGGACACACAGGTTTTTCACAACGTTCTTTTCCTTCACAGCCAGATATTTTAATATATTAGAAATAATTTATTTTTGTGTGTTTGTGCCGACTATAAGAATTTCTGTCTTGTCCTTATTCAGTTTAGGGAAATTTCCACTCGTCCAATGCTGGCCATGTTCTAGTGTGCACCAGGACACTCCTTTAGCTGTTGACATTTTTATTACATATTTGAGGGTCGGGGTTCAGATGTCTTTTTAACTTGCGTTTGTTTGGCAGAGAGCTGCTGAAAGATCACCCGTTCTTCTATGTTCCTGATGTGATTGACGAGCTGAGCAGCCCGCATGTCCTCACTACAACGCTGGTGCCCGGTTTCCCTCTGGACCAGGCCACTGACCTCTCTCAGGAGCTCAGGAATGAGGTCTGACCGCCGTGATCTCCACACCGCTAATAGTACAATTTACACGTGTGCACTGCCAAGACGTCGCCCTGTTTTGGAAGTGCGACATGCCAAATGCAGATTTATGCCACCTTTTAAAACCCTGGAGTCATGTCAGCACCTCGCAGAGCTTATCGTGTTTCACTTGTCATTATTTTAGTGTCATTACACACAATTAATCAGTTAATAATAATACTCGACAAGCACTGTTTTTATAAACAAATTTATTTAAGACTTTTGTTCTTTCTCCTCCTTTGCTTCTGCCAGATTTGTGAGCAGATCTTGATATTATGCTTGAGAGAGCTTTTTGAGTTCAGATACATGCAGACAGATCCAAATTGGTCCAACTTCTTCTTTGATCCACAAGCTCACAAGGTAAGTTTGTCTCAATGACATCATATGCACATTGTCAGTACAATATCAAATACCCCCCCCCCCCCCCCTTTTCCCTGATGCCTGTTTTTCTGTTTCATGTCTCCAGGTTGCACTGTTGGATTTTGGAGCTACACGGGGATTTGATAAGAGTTTCACTGACACCTACATTGAGGTGAGAAGCTGCAGAAATGTAGAATGAAAAAATTGTCATTTGCATTTACAGTATTATTATAGTTTGTGTAATGACACATTTTGTCATTACTACATACTAGATTATTGTTCTTACAAGAAACATTTATTTTTATAAAAACATGATTTTATCTTGTTATATCACAAAACATTCCCATTATCACACAAAATCTCATTATATCATGATATAAATCCAGTCAATACCTAAAGAGAGTATTGAAGCCTAAAATCGTCCAACTAAATTGACAATGTCCGCTTAACCCCTTGACGCCTGAATTTATTTTACAATAAAAAAAAATAACAAAAATTATTTGTGTTTTCATTTGCTTTCAAGCTGATGTTAAATTAAGTGAAGATTGTTAATTTGTCTCATCAGATTATTAATGCAGCTGCAAATCGTAACAGAGAAGGTGTCCTGCAGAAATCCAGAGAGATGAGGTTCCTCACAGGATACGAGTCAAAGGTAATGCACACAAACATCTTCACTATATACCACAGCAGTGGTGGTAACAGTGTGTAATTACAGTAATATTCAGTCAGGGATTTAATGTTAAGAGGAGCTGTGTGCTGATTGATGGTTCTCAGCACTGCTGGTTTTCTGTCCTACTATTAACTTTATTGACTAACCTGAATTCTTCTGCTCTTGAGGTATAAAAGGGTCCTAGAGGATAAAAAACAGCTCTGAGTCCTTCTGCAGAAACTTCCCCTCTTTAAACTTGGTGGTGAAAGAAGTACTCAAACCAGAATGTAAAAATGCATTTGAAATTCTAGGTACTTGTAACTGTCTGTCTGTAACTACTGTACTGTCTAATGTGCTGAGAGTCTGCAGGGTTTGTGTTTTTCAGACAAATAGCAGTTGATTGTAGTAATGAGCACACATTCAAACAGACGAGAAATTAATCAGTGAAATGACCTGAATGTAAAACCTGCACAGGTGGCCGTTTCCACCAAAATGAAATATTATTTTAATTATAATTGCATTCTGTGTACTACTTTTTTCAGACATGTGAACCAGCAGAGCGTTCAATCACTTTTTATTTATTCAAGGAGTATTAAGTCCTTTATTGACCTCTACTGCCAACCAGGAGCAATTGCAACAACAGAACTTGTAGTTACTCGTTCACCGAGCCCCTTAATGTAGAGTTTTTGCATTAAAGCCTGTTGATTAACTGCTGTGTCCTGTAATAAGGCTATGGAGAACGCCCATGTGGACGCAGTGATGATCCTCGGGGAGGCCTTCTCCTCTGAGGAGCCCTTTGACTTTGGAGCTCAGAGCACCACCGAGCGCATCCACAGCCTCATCCCTGTGATGCTGAGGGAGCGACTCACACCGCCTCCTGAGGAGACGTACTCCCTCCACCGCAAGATGGGCGGCTCTTTCCTCATCTGCTCCAAACTCAAAGCCCAAATACCCTGCAAGAACATGTTCCAGGATGCCTACAACAACTACTGGAAAGGGGGACGCCCCGAGGTGACAAACTGAAGCTGAAGATGTTTTCAAAAAGGCTTGTTGAAACCAGGATTTTCTTGCCATGTTTGTGGTATGTTGGACAATTTAACTCACACGTTCTTACCTGTGAGAATATGTATGTGCCGCCTGGGCCAGATCATGTCCAGATGTTACAAAGTTTTGGGGTTCTGTGGCCTGCTCTTCTGACTCATCAAGTAAACTGATATGACAACATAAAAAAATCTGAATAGTGCCTATTAAGAACAAGTTCATATCTGTGTGCTTCTTATTGCGTCGCTCATTTTGACTATGACTCCCATCCAGACTAAGATGAACAAAGGAATGTGTTATGATTATTTGCACGTATTGTTTGAATGAATTTGTTGTGCAACTGTACAACCTAGTAATTATGTGTCTTTATGGTTTGAGGAACTGTATTTCCGTCTGACCAGGATTTGTCAGTTGAAATAAATTGACAATGATGTTGCAAAAACAAATCCGCATCAAAGATTTGTACATTTCTTAAAATGCAGAAGGAGGAAAATCAACTTTTGTGGAAGCTTAAAATATCATTATTAATAAGTAAACTTCAAAACATGTGCTCTGGCTATGTTTATAATAGTGCAAAACACAAAGATCTATGCAAAGAAGGAGGTCCTTCTAATAGTCAGACATTCTGCTGCTTTATAAATAAAAATGTATTCTTGATGTAAACAGTGCCACAAACACCTGATATTTACAAATGTTCAGTTGCACCATTAACTGGTCAGATTGGGGGCGAGTAGGAGGCTGTTAAGCAGGAAGCCTCTGCTCTGTCACCCGTCTCCACAGTCATCCTTTTAGCGCTGCACTTGGATTGTGATGCTGGAGAAGCCAAACTCGGAGCGCAGGAGCTTCGTTGCCTTCATGAGGACGAGCTGTGTGTCAGCATCTTTTTCTGAGGATACAAACACAGGCGACATTTTCAAACAGTTCTGGTTTACAATAATCATAAACACATATCATCAGTAGCCTACTTGGCTAGCCTCAAACCAGCTGTTTTTATGGCGTCAAATTTATATCAAGTGGTGTGTGAGTAAAACATCCACTCGAGCAAATTATATTATTTCACACGCGCAAAAATGAACCTTCCCGCTGGCACGATAAAGTACTTGCGCACAAATTCAACAATCAAGAGTTGCACAGGTAGCTGTAAGCGAGTGCACGGCATGCTCTCATAGGTTAACTCTGCTTGGGGGCGAAAACCAAGGTGATCACGTTTAAAGTGGCCAATCATAACCTCCTTGGTTTCTGCCCACAAATTGTCAAAAGTCATGTAGCAAGCGAGCAGAATTCCACTGTGCAAGTAGAGTTAACTTATGACAGCATGCCATGCGCTCGATGCCAGCTACCTGTACAACTCTTGGTTGTTGAATTTGTGCGCAAGTATTTTATCATGCCAGCAGGAAGTTAAATTTTTACGCGTGAAATAAAATAATTTGTTCGTGAGCATGTTACCTCCCCCAACCCTCTGTCAGATAATAGTCTACACAGGTATTACATTTCCGCAGCCTCTATTTGACTAGTTACTTCACTGCTGCACACAACATCCTCCACACCCATACGGTTTGTGGTAGGAATTAGTAATATTGATTTTGCCTCCACCTGTGGCCACGTGGACAGAAAGTAAAGAATGAGTCATGTTGAGGCTCCACATGTGCAAACTGTGAACAGCCACAACTCCTCTCACAGACAGCAGAAGCTCCTTCACAGTGTTGAAGCTGATGTCCTGAGGAGCGCCTGTAGAAAACAGAGATGACATTCAGTGCCAGTTAACACACAAACTGTGGTCAGTACAACAATGTCGCTACAGGTAGAGGAAAAGTGTGTTTACCTTCCATCAGTATTCTGAAAACATTCTTTGTGACTGGAATTGTTGTTACAAGAACAAGAACTGAAAACAGGAACGTGCAAATTGGATCTGCTACTTTATATTCAGGCTGTGAGGAAAACAGAAATGTGATTTAAAAAAAACAAATAAACCACAAAATAAAGCTTGAAGGTTTCCTGGAGTCTGCATAGACTCACACGGTCTATCTTGTGCCTCTGGCACAACAAGTTTGTTGTACCCACTTTCAGGAAATTAAAAGGAAAGTTTATTAAAATAATTTTCTTTACAATTTGTCTTATCATAACTCAGTGTTTAAAGTATGAGGCTGGTGTTATTCTATATTTTTCTTCTTCAAATGCCATGAAAAGACCAAAACCGCCAACATGTTTAGTCTGTGTCTCAATACTTTCTGACTTCCCTTCTCACCACTTGTTCCTAATAAAGATAAATCTTCAATACATTACCATTCTAACATATAATATGATATAAGAGACATCATAATATAAAGTTGTTGGTATTTTAAAGCTAAATAATTTCCTAAAATAGCTGGGCTTTTAGCAAACAATCAAAAAGAGGGAAATACTGCACTTGTTGGGGACTATTTTCAGCTGAGGATCAATACACAATGTGCTTTAGTGAAGCAAGTGATGTGTTTTTAATACTTTTTGCTCTCTGCTGGCAAAGAGGTAAAACCTATATCAGAGTTTTGCTATACAGACGTGTTAGTAAAATCAATTCACAGTTGGTTTTGATCTTCATTGGATCAAAACTTTATACTTTGTTATAAAGTAATAACATCCCTATCAGCCTCAGCTGTACTTTGGATTTACTGTTAACTAGCTAATGCTAGCATGCCAACACACTAAACAGATATGTTGAACATGGTAAATATTAAATTTGCTTAGCCTTCATATGTTCCGTATTGTTACTGTGAGCATGTTAGCGTGCTGATGTTAGCGTGCTGATGTTAGCATTTAGCTAAGTACCCACAAGTAGTAAGTAGCTACAAGCATGGCTGTAGACTCTTAGTATGGTCTCTGTTCAAATACTTTACAAGTACTTTTTAGTTCAGTTGCAGAGATGTTGACCCCTTTTAGTGTTTTGGCTGACACTGACCCACAAGTGGATGATGGTGGCAGCCAGCAGGACTCCGACACTTTGCACCAGATCTCCCACCACGTGGACGAAAGCTGCCTTTACACTTGCGTTGCCGTGGCTGTGATGGTGGTGGCCATGCCCCCAACGTTTGTCCTTCTGCAGCTGGCTGGCGGGAAAGCCGTGACTGTGGCCATGTGAGGCCCCAGACTGATGGAGAATCAGGACCATCCTTAAAAAAAAAAGAAGGTCATAATTAGTTTTTAGAACAGCGTCTGACTGCTGCTGACCACCCTCTAAACAAAATAATCCTGATGGTGAGCTCATGGTACTCACAGGACATTGACCGCCACAGCGCAACCTGAAGTTATCAGCATGATCTGACTGTCGATGTCGTAGTCTCCGTCAGTGATCCTCTGAACGGCTGATATGACCAACATTGCTGTCAAAGCCCAGATGGACATGACTGACAGCAACATGCCCAGAATCTCTGGTTAACACAACAAGTGAGAGAGTCATACTACACATAAATATTATACATTATATAGAATTAATTAATTTAAATGTGGTAATAGGGCAAATACTTTTTATTCATGATACAGTTGTCGTAAAGCAGATTTTGTAGTCTAGTTGATTGAAAATGATGAAATAATTTATTTATAATAAGTGTATTAGGTTTAACTATCTAGAAGCTCAGTGACCACAAAATATTAATACGTTTTAGGAAGCAGTACAGTTATAAGATGGCAAAGTCACCTTTAATATCAAATAAACAGGAAACTGTGAAAGAGCTGTGGTCTGTAAAGGAAATTATTAAGAGGCTTGAAAAAAAGCTTCATTCAGCAAAAACTCAAATATTTCAAATCAAAGAAATCCTAACATCACAGTATTTATTGAACCAGCTGTAAAGTACATTTTTCAACACAAAAGGTCTAAATTTTATGTTTCAACCCCTTCTCTACACTGGGAAATACTGACTACTTTATTTTTGTAGGCATTAAAATAGTCAAATTTAAATATACTGAGTGTAAAGATACTTGAATCAGCTTATGAAATTCCCGACATGCATTTGTTGGTTTAAAACAGCAGATTCAAACTCCCCTGGGTTGCTCAACTCCCAATCTCACCTGCTCGATGCCACCCAAAGGTCATGTCGTGTGTCTGAGGCCTGGATGACAGCCACAGAGAGAAGATGCTGATCATGATGCTGCCAAAATCAGTCAGAAGATGTGCTGCATCTGTCATGATGGCCAGACTGCCAGCTGCGTATCCACCTGCGGAGAGAAGAAATCCCTGCAGACTGTCAACAGAAGATGGTATGTATCAGTGTGAATGTGTGTGTGTGGGGGGGGGGTTGTATTACTATATTCAAGTGGTCCAATAAGATGAAACTGAGTTTATATTTCAAAACAAGTCCTTTTTAGCTAATAAGAGATTTCAGACATTTTTTGCCTCAGTTTGACCATTGTATTGTACTTGCACAAGTACAAATTTGAGGTACTTGCATTAGTATTTCCATTTTACTTTACACTTCTACTCAGAGGCAAGTATGGTGGTTTTCACTCTACTACATTTGTCTGACATCTTTAATTACTCTTCAGATTACAATTTTCCATACCATGCATCTTCACAAAGCTGAAAACATACGGTAAATGGTCTGTATTTATAGTCTTCCGACCACTCAAAGCGCTTTTACAATACAGTACGTTACTTTCACAAACATTCATACACTGAGCTCGAACGGAAACTAATATTCACATACATTCATACACCATACCATACATACCACCAGCCATACATATGTACATATAGTATCTATGTATTGCACCTGGTCAAATTTTAAAAAAATTACTTTGGTAGTGTCATCTATAGGAGTGATCATATCTTACTTTTTTCTTTAGATGCAAAGTAGCAAGAAAATATATATATATAGCTCTCAGATAAAGTTAATGGAGTAAAAAGTTCAAAATGTACAGTAGGCCTACAAGTTCAGTAGTTAAAAGTAGTTAAGTTACTTTCCATCACTGTGACTTTTTCCTAAAGCACATTACAAACACCAAACAGGATCCCTTTTCATTGTCTAGCTAGTATTTGATAAATTTATGACAGCTGAAATCAGTTTTTCATCTCACCAATCACCTCTCCGGTCATGAAAACAAGACTGACAGCGCAGGCGATGAGAAGCTTCCTTCTGGCCAAACATCTGGCGTCACTTTCAGCCCTTAACATCACATTCGTCTCCTGGCAGAGCCAGTCAGGCTGCCCCAGGCCTTCCACACTGGAGGCATCTTCACTAAAATCTGATGGCGAGTCTGAATCATTTTCACCAGGAGAACTCGTCCTGAGAGGAGACAAAAACTAACAAATTATCTTTAAAAACAAAAGTTAGAAAATGATTAAATATTATATTAGTAAATTAAAAACCATCTGTGCTGACACATATGAGATAATTAAAAAATAACAACATACCATCTTAAAGGCTCCAAATGAGTCTCAATCAGATGTTGTTTCTCTGACTCTGTTGATAAGTCCATATGTTCAGTTCACTTCATTCCCTAATGTTTAACTACTGTTTAAGTGAATCTCACAATCTGGTCTAACGTGTTATCTGACAGGGGTGGAGCACAACAGGAGCCAATGGCAGGTTACTGAGCCCAGAGCCACTGGTCACTAACAGCAAACTTAAAATTACGAGACAACTTTATGATATTTCCAGTATCACCCAAGTTTATTTGATCAGACAAACATTAATTTTACAGAAACAAACAGTTTGAAAACATGACAAAAATTAAAGAATGAGAAAATACCAGAGAATTTTGTGATGATATAACTAAATATATAGGTTAAGTTTTCTTATCAAACATTTCAAACCTGAAGAAGAACAAAAAAAAACAAAAAAAAAACATTTAATCCCACTGCAATGTATTCTGGCACATTTAAATACATTTCTGGGATTGTTTAAACTTTACATACATACACAGGGCTATCTGTGTATGTATGGTTACCGAACAAAAACAGATCAATGCTAATAATAATGCACATATACTGTTGAATTTGTACAAAATGCAAACCCTTTAAAACACAAACCCAACCTCCACCCAGCAGAAATAAAAAAATATGTACATGATGAAAGGTGACATAATTTAAGGCATTATCTTAATATACACTATTTTGTCACAAAACTTCCAATCAAAATACACCTCTGAATTTACACAAAAATTATTTCTGAACGATTTCTGTATAGAGCGTGACATTGCGATACATACATGCAATATATCATGTCATACACCACAGAGAGATCAATGTCTTTGAAATACACCTTGACACATCTGGAGCACATCACCAGGATCAAACAGGAAAATTGGCAACAAATGAATCTCTCTTAGTTGTCTTGTATAGTCAAGTGAAGCAATAATTTGTTGGTTTCAGCATCAAGTTTAGTGTTAGGAAAAGCATTTAACAAAATAGATGATTTGTGGGAGCTTTATCAATACCTGACAAAAATTATTTGCCCCCTTGTGTTTTCACACTGTGAAGTAACTTTTTTGTGCAGATACAGCAAACAGTACCACCCGTCTCTCTTCAAGAAATAGTTCCATATATTGGAAAGTGCACTTATTCGCATAATTTACAACAGTTAGATGAGAAGATTGATGCCACTCTTGTGTCTCGGTCATGTTAGTATGGAGCTGCAGCCAGGAGGCAATCAGCTTTGGCTTAGCATTAAGAATGGACATAGGTAGCCTGGCTCTATCCAAAGTTCAAAAATACACCTATCAACACCTCTAAAGCTCACTAATGAACATGTTCTTCTTTCTGTAGATCTGGTTTTAAGGAGAATTACATGCTGGAACTATTTCTGACATCCATCTGCCCAGTATTTGTGGAGGGCGTCTTTCGACTATAACGCAGGTTGGAACTGCACTGTGACCACCAACCTTCAGAAAGATAGCATTAGAGGTTCATTTTTGAACCAGACTAGCTTTCCCCCCTTGCTTCTAGTCCCTATGCTAAGCTAGGCTAATCACCACCTGGCTTAAGTGCTATTCTTAATGCCATGTTCATGTCAAAGAGGAGTTACCACAATTACCAGTTTCCAACAAGTAGTGGATTTTTCTGAAAGCTACCGTAACTCCAGGAAGCAAATTTTATGGGTGATGGTAGGTGTATTTTAACTTTAGACAGTCACGCTTGATTTTTTCCCCTGAGCTCAGCTAATTAGCTTCTGGCTCCAGCTTCATACTGGGGGTACTCAAACACAAATATGGACCTCTCATGTCGCCAGTCTTTTGTTCAAGGTGATTTAACTAAACTTTTGAACAAACTTGAGTTGTTCAATGACGTGAAGAGTCGAAAGTCGACAACATGGGAATCTCATCTAACTTTCAGAAAGAAATTAAATAAGCATCTCTCCCACAATGTTGAATTATTCCTGTTATGCCATTGTTACTTTATTCATTCTCATTGGGCTATTTACAGGCTTTCAGCCAATATGCAACAGTGGACACAGTTGACATCCCATTTAAAAAACATATGTCACAACATACTTTACATGAGGTATGAACGGAAATCTACATCAATTAATTGATTTAATGCCTTTATTTTGTTTCTACAATATGTATCTATGTGCACAATGAGTAAACACCTTGTAAGTCTCCAAAGCTGTGTTTCGACCAAAGGAATGCCAGGACTAGGAACCTTTGGAGGAACTCGCTGCTTTTCCACCGAAGGGACCAGGGTCTAAATTTAGTTCTGGATACTTTGGTGGGGGGGGGGGGGGTGGGGGGGGGGGGCAGCCAATGGAGTTAAGCTAAATACTGGGTCTGGAGTAGTTTTCATCAGTCAGGAAGTTTTTACACAGAGCTGAAGTTGGTCTCCTCTTCTCTAAAACAAGCAGAACAGCTGATTATTACAGCTAATAAAGCTCGTTAAAATCACGACAGACGTGAGTCTGGCCAGCTGATCTGCAGCTCTTGTCGGCTGGAAATGTGTTTTAACAACCTTCCAAACTGTCGCGATTTTATTTTTGTGTTGCTTTCTCTGTGCTGGAGTTATTTTAAGAACTTGTTGGCTTTATCCGGTTTGTTATCTACACAAGTCTCGCCGATGTCTGCCTGAGATCAATGTCGGCATTAAATGTATTGCTCGGAAACAGAAGCCATGTGCAGCGGTGTGTTACAGCTAACAGCTGATGGAGTTACGCTAAACTGGGTCCGAAGTTGTTGTTTTACGTTTTCATCAGTCAGGAAGTCTGTCTCCTCCTCCAAAACAAGCGGAACAGCTGATTACGGCAGATAATGAATCTCCTTAAAAATCCCGTTCCTCTGGCAGGCACACAGATGAGCAGCAGATGATCTGCAGCTCTTTCGGCTGGAAATGTTTAAATAACCTCGCGATTTATTTTGTGTTGCTTTCTCTGTGCTGGAGTTATTTTAAGAACTTTATGGCTTTATCCAGTTTGTTATTAAATGTGTAACAACTTTATCGTATGTCTCTCCATTATACTCCCACACAAAAAAGCTGTTCTAATGGTCCGCATAGCCATAGTTTTTCATTATATTCCATCAAATCTGATGTTCATTTATAAATTTTGCCTCATGGATATTGGTTACAAACAATGATGCCTGTGCATCGCTTGTACGGCGTGTGGGCCTACAGCCTATGTCATGGTTAATTTGCCTAATCTTCGCAGGTCTTTAGACCACGTGGAAACGCACAAAACGTGGGCTGAATGAACTTTTTAGTTCCTTGAAAAGAGATCTGGTGCCTTAAAAATCCCGGGTACTTTTGGTCGAAACGCGGCTCAAGTGTTGGCATCTAAATATCCATTAAAAAAATATTTAAAACATTTCTGACCCAAAAGCCACCTTGAGCAGACATTTTCTCAGACCAGACGGCAGCTGTATTATTTAAATATTAAGTTTAATTATTAAAGTGCACGTAAAAAAGAATTATTCCAGAGCTTTGTCACTGCAGTCCAAATACTGCCAATATTCAAAATAAAAGTAAAAAAAAAAATAATATGAAAATGGTTCACAGACAAACCCATTGACACTATGGCACAATCAAATCGCTGCTTGATTCATTTAACAAATTAGCCTCTGAGATGAATACATTTCTGTTTCAACGACATTCTCTGAGAAAAAACAATACATTCAACATTTATATCATCATCAGCCACTTTGAAAATGATCAATACATCTTCTGATGATGAAACGCAGCCCAGACTCTGAAATTCTCCACTCACTCATTCCTCAGCCGACTGAGCCCGCCTCGGAGTGCTGCTGGCTGGCTGAACCACAATTGGTACATTTTACCTGGAGGTGTGAAAAAATAAAAAATAAAGACAGCTACAGTTTTTATACTTTTATTTATTTCTCAGAAGCAGCAGAGCTGCTTGCTTCACATGAAAAAAAGAAGAACCTTGTTTATATCAACAGAGATTTGTTTTTCAAATGGAGAGCAAAAAATATTAGTTTAAACTGAGATGAGCTGACATTTTTTACAGCACTTCAAGCAAAACTGACTACCTGATTAATGGAAAGAAATGATAAATTAATCACTCATGAAAGAATGTTAGTTGCAGCCCTAAACACAGCGGCATCCACCATAATGCACCAAGTTAGACACTATTTAAGGACCACTTGTTTTATCTTTATTTCACTATGTATTTGTCACCATATAATGTGTGTGTGTGTTTGTGTACCACTACACTCTCCACTCATGGTGTCTCATTGGAAGGCTCCTAAACATGATAAATGCATTTCTCTGTTTAATATTAGCTGCAAATTAAATACCTTTGGATGGATATTTTCTTGATTATTTTTAATTTAGTCTATAAAATGTCGACAGTAGTAAACAGGTCTTCCCAGGTGACATCAATGTCTTATTTTGTCCGATCAAAAGTCCAAAACAATCAGAGGACTAAAACGCCAGAAAATATATACAGTTGAAAAGTTGGAACCAGTGAATCTTTGGCATATTTTAAGATATTTTGTGGAAACTTTATAGACAAAGAAATTAATGGAAAGAATTATATACAATGATTGATGAAAATCTTTGTAGTGCAGCCCTACTAGATAAAACAACGGAACATAAAAGCCTAGAAAAATAAAGTTAAATTTTAAAAAGAGAATATAGTTGATTCGTGTGCTGAAACAAACAATAGCTTAAGATAGAATAAGCTGCACAAAAGACTTAAATCAATAGCTGTTGCACATTTTTGTTTTTAGTAGCTTCCATAAAGTGACGTCACTCAGATCAGTGGTTCTCAAACATTTTGATGTGAACCTAACACCATGCAAGAGTAACGCTACTGTATGCATATGGTTTATAACATGACAGAAAATGCGGTGTAAAAAGGTTGATAACATTTGTATAGTAGAAATATGCCTTTTTCCTAATTCAGATAAATCATGAGTAAATCACTCACTTCTGAAATGATCTCCCAAATCCAAACTCCCAGATTGGGAACCACTGCTCTTGATATTTAGCATTTTAGTATACCATTTAAACATTGTCAACAGTGATAAGTGTAAGCAAGCAAAGATATGAACAAATAATAACGGTCATCCTGGACTTGTAGAAAGGTATTAATACAGTTAAGTAAAATGTTAGTACATGATTTGTCCAATACACAGCTCTAGGTCAGTGGTTTTAGAAGCCAAAACATGAACTCCTCCACGGTGAAACACTTCAAATTGTGACAGATAAGTAAAGCAGCGCAGTGCAGCAGTCAGTGTGGCAGTGAGTGTATATTACTATTAGATTACAGCAATGCATCTTATTTATAAGATCGTGATACGTTTGTAGCGTCCTGTGAAAACCACGTATCATTAAGAAGTCAACTTTTCATGAGCTCAGAAACCTTCAACATAACCAAATCTGGAGATACATAGTTTTCACTGGGCAGGAAGGGGGTGAAAAAACTAGTAACTAAAGCTGTCAGTCACATGTAATGCAGTAAAAAGTACAATATTTGCTTTCAGTTGCATCCTGGATTTGTAGGAAGGTATTAATGCAACTAAGTAAAATGTTAGTATGTGATTTGGAAAACACACAGTGCACGCTGGTGTTAGAAGCCAAAACATGAACTCCTCCACGGTGAAACACTTCAAGTTGTGACAGATAAGTCAAGCAACGCAGAGCAGCAGTAAGCTAAGACTTTACTTGAAGAGGTGACAACTTTACCTGATATGTCAGTGGCGGCACTAGCGCTTGGCTGAATAATTATTACATCGTCTCCTGCTGTGAAAGACAATTTAACACTGAGCAAACCCACGCATGTTTTTCCACAAACAAAATGACTCAACTCACTGTCGTGGCTAGAAACACAAAAAGGACGCTCTACATTGCTATGACCACAGAGACACAACATTTAAGGGAATCGTTCGACATTTGGGGAAATATGCTTGTTCACTTTCTTTCTGAGAATTAGAGGAGAAGATCAACACCATTCCCATATCTGAATGTTAATTATGAAGATGGTTGATTAGCTTATCTTAGCATAACGACTGAAAATAGGAGGAATAAGCTAGCCTGCCACAGGTAACAAAAATCCAGCTGCCGAACCTCCAAAGCTCAGTGATGAACATGTTCAGCAAAGGTTTCTCCTCCACCTCATCAATATTATTGCTATCATTGTTATTACTATATTACTGATATTTGTATTATTACCACTAACAATACTATTATTTTACATCTCTATGTAAAACTTGCATTGTGCTACTATGTGTTTTCTTTCCGTCCACCCATTCTTGAGTTTAGGTTCTGCTCGAGGTTTCTGCCTGTTAAAAATGAGCTTTTCATTGTTCTGCTTGCTCAAGGTGCAAATTGTCGGGTCTCTGTAAATAATATTACAGAGAGTATGGTCTAGATCTGCTCTATAGGAAAAGTAAAATGAGATAAGTTCTGTAATGATTTAGAGCTTTATAAATAAATTATATTGAATTATCTTGCTTGTTTAATCCTTACAAAAACTTAAATTTCAAAAACAACAATTTGTGGATTTGTGAGGGGCTGTGAGCTGGACAGGAGCAGTGACCATCTTTTCTCCTGTTTCCAGACATTATGCCAACCTGAGCTAACTTTATATTTAGGGTACAGACGTGAGAGTATTGATCTCCTAATCTAACTCTAGAGCAAGAAAGTGAATACACATACTTCCCATCCCCATCAGGATTCATTGTTCACTATAAGGGCTCTCTGACCAAACATCAACGCTGAAAAACCACAAAGTAAGTTGCCATTCAGAAATCCTGCAACTTACATTTGTCCCCAAAATGTCCATCTTTATTCACTTTCCAACAAAGTGTTATTTCCATTACTAATCACATTAGACATTTAATTCAGTTAAAGGGCACTACAGAAGTACTTACACCCATATTTTACTGCCTCAAAAGCATTTCCTAATTTGGACAATGGATGCATCCAATTAACAATAATGAAATTTTCTTGTCATGCAACGACTCCTGTTTCCAGATGAAAATGTATTAGTAAACCACAAACTGATGAAGCTTTGCTGTAAAATAATCACAAACTACTGTGTAAATGTGAACATGCTGTGTACAGTTTACCGACGTCTCATTAAAGATTTTTTAGTTCAATTTCAAGCACTTTGTCCCAGTTATTTAGGGCCACCAATGTTGAATGTTGCCTTCTGCTGCTTAAACACCTCCACTTCAATTTATATTTAAACAAAGCAAGTATTCACTGTAAAATACTACTAATAGAATATTTTAAATGAATGATTATGCCATTGTGATGTTGTTTTGGCTTGAATCAGATTGTCCTGAATTATGTATTAGACTGCCAATCCTGGATTTCACCAAGACAGATTTTGAATTACTAAACCAACAGAAAATAAACAGCTATTAGCTTTAGTTTAACTTACTCTTACTCCTGATGTGAACAGACATCAGCTAGAAAATGTAACATGTCATTTTAATTCACAGGAAAATATTTTTTTTAATTCTGTACACTGACGTGAATCCAAAAGAACAAAGTCCCTCACCTGCATCCTGTTCTCTGATCTCTGCCTCTAGGTCCTCGGGGTCCATATGAGTGAAATCTTGTCCTTCTTTTGACGTTGCGCACGCTCCACAGCAGAAACAGCAGCAGCAGAAACAGCAGCAGCAGGTGAAAATACTGCAGCACACAAGAAGTGCCTGAAAGAGAAGGGAATTTATTTCAGAATATATGTGATCTGTATGCCAACATTTACTACACCTACCAAAATACAATACTGAACAACATGAATGCACTTTCTCAAGAATTTATGACAATCCTTGGCAAACACAATTCCACATGACTTCAAGCTCAATTCCACGTCTTAACACACAATTACTAAACAACTGAAGTAAAATTTTATTCAGACATTTGCTCAAGGCTAATTCATTGTATGCGAAAACCGTGGCAATAAACCTGATTCTGAATTTTCACCTGTTGCACACATTTAGTTTCTGAAATCACATCCTCTCACCTTGAACCAGCACTTGGACATGAGGGCGTATACTCTGGCGTCATCGTTACCAAACTGCTCCGACATGTAGAGCCCCATGGATCCATACTCGTTGTAGATCTTCCGTTTGTTCTCATCACTGAGGATGGAGTTGGCGTTGTTGATCACTTTGAATTTCTCAGCAGCTTCTGGGTTGTCTGGGTTTTTATCAGGATGATGCCTCAATGCCAGTTTCCTGCAAACGAGGGAGTGAGGGTTTGAAATATGCAGTTAACTTTGAAGCTATTCCACCAGGTGTTAAAGGGTTGCTCTCATCCACAAATAAAGATTTTACCCACCCATTTATACATTGGGAATACAGTTCCCATTTTAAGTACAAAAACTAACAATAAATGTAAACGGCTATAATCAGTAAACATGCGCCATTATTTTATTGAAATATGAAATTTGGTCTAGAATTTTGTTTACTCTGAACAAATAAGGAAGGAGAAGCTGTTCTGAAAACTGTAAGTCCCTTATTTTGAGACTACACTGTTAGTCCAACTTTTTGGTATGGCCTTAATAAATCACATCTGAACAACAACTTCACAACTTAGAAGCTTAATTCAAATTGAATGTACTTTTCATTGAATCTGGCCTTTAAACTAATGAGATCTACGTCAATAAGTTTTCTTTTCTTTTTAATTCCAAATATATTGCAGCAAAACCCAAAGCTTAGGAACTCTGAATATTGATAACATCAGCTGCTGGGTGGTTTCTTCGAACAAAAAGCATGAAGCTATTCCAGTTAGACTTGTAATGGAGCCTTACAAGTCCCCTCTCTCGCCAACGCACATTTCTACCTAATGATGACATTTCCAAGTTTAGATATTGTTGCACCATTAGTGCTGAATTGATAGTGAACTAAATTACAAGTCAACTGACTTAAATTAACTTAATTAAAAAGCTTTTCAGTCCTTTGTCGAGAAAATGCCTCGTTACAGCTTCTCCAGAGTGAACATTTTACTGTGTTTTATATCCAGGTCTGAAATGAGGTCAACAAGATCAAATCTACTGTACTGTTTGTAGGAATTTGGGGGTTTTGATCATCTTGAGAAGAGTTCACAATCTGTAAAGTTACATACCGTAACACTTCAATTAAAAGCCTAGTCCAAATTAGATGCCTGCCCCTTTTACTGGCCCAGTGTGGCTACACATTTTTATAGAAGTTCTATGGATGTATAAAACTTGTCCAGCGGGTCACCTGCTTGAGCTAGTTCTAAGCTGCTTAGGTCATACATACTAATAACAAATGTTTAAACTTTTGTCAATATGGACATGCTACACATAATAAGATCAGTTAGATTCTCCACAATTCAACTATTTAGTCCATTTTTTACGGAAACAATGAACACCAATGTATTATTCATTCAGATTTACCGGCATGGCAAAGAAAGGCCTGTCCCATTCAGACACAAGAGTTCACGCCTGGGCTATTAATTTAAGTTTTGTGGTACACATTACACAGAGTGGGTTTTGGCAGGTTCTAAGCTGGTGTTTAAATGTGTTTTCCTACAGAAAGAGTCAAGTTACGTAAATGTATTTAGTATTACTCTATCCAGAATTACTGTATATGTGGCAGTGTGGAGGATAAAACTAAATAAACTGAACAGTAAGTCAATTAATAAAATGAAAATACTACGTCACAAAAGTTATCGGTGGAGTTGGTGGCACCTCTGGAGATTTTCCACGGACCTTATATCTAAATCCAGGCTACGGTCCTGTTTGTATCATTGTGAACTGAACATCTTTGGGTTTTAAACTGCTTGTCAATCAAAACAAGCAACTTAAATATATCACCCTTTCTGACATGTTACAGACCAAATTAATAAATCAACTAATGGAAGAACATGTACTTACGACTTAGCCTAATATGTAATAAATTTGCTCAACTCTAAATGGACAGATTAATTGATCTTTATGAACACACCTGTATGCCTTTTTTATTTCTTCTGGAGATGCTCCTTTCTCCAGGCCCAGGACTTTGTACAGGCTTTCTCCTGCTGTTGACATCTTACGCTGTATGTTTGGGTCCTCCATGTTTCAGGATTTGGCGGCTGTGACATAAAAAAACGCAAATACTTCCTAGTATCACTTCCTGAGTAACGTTACAGATAACAGATAAGTAACAGCTCGTAAATTCGGTGGAAGTGGTTAAGTAAACAACTATAAACGTGACATAAAGCCGGCTTTAAGTCCATACAGCCCATAATACTAACCGCGTAACTACTGTCTGTTTGTTAAGAAGAAAATACACATATTGTATATATATTTAACTGGGTTTGTTTGGATAAACGTTTCCTCAGTTCATGTTAAACCCTGCGGGGTAACAAGACAAACTGCTAACTGACTTAGCTAACTTTAGCCGGGCTGCAAGACAAAGTTAAATCTTACGTACTGGATTAATTAATGTCGTTGTTTTTGGTCGAATCATAGAGTCCGAAGTGTGTCTGTTGGCTGTCTTAAAGTTTGTTCCATGAAATACAGTTGGTTTCTTCTGTTGAAACTTATTTCATCATGAATCTGGGAAAACTCTTCAGAGGAGCCGCAGCGGTGAATCAGGAAGTTTGAACAGGAAGGAATCCTCATACGTCATTGATGAGTTTGCGCGCGCAGCTGCGTTTCAAACAAGCAGGATGTATTTTAATAATGAATAATTAAATAAAGGAGTAAGGTTATGTGTATCATAGTATTACTGCATATTTTTTCTGTTTCAATGTACAATTTTTTGTTTAAGTATTGCTAATTCTTACATCACTAATAACTTATTACTAATTATAACTATAGGCCTATCTGCTAATCAAAGGTGGAAGAAGCATAGGTGTCATTTGCACTGAGGACGCTGCGGACACGTCCCCACCCATTTTTGAAAGCATTTGTTAAAAAAAATAAATGTTCTGAAAAAAAGATTGCAACAAGAAAAATTACTGATAACTACATTATATTCCATTTTTATATTTTGAATTGTCACCTGCTATCTGAATTTTGTGTTTCCCTTTATATTAATAAAGACATTTTAACTATGAATTGATAAAGAAAGTCTTTAGGGGATTATCCACAGGCCCCCACTGTTTATATATATATTCCTTAAAATAGTGTTAAAATATCACCTCGTCTTCTTCTCATGAACCCAACACTCCTCACAGCTTGTGAGCTAAGTGCATTGTCATACTCCTAAGTGGAGCCCTATGTCCCCAGCACCTTTCAACACAAAGTGGCGCCCTTGGGCACAAGTATTTAAATGCCCTACTTAAGTAAAATTAGTAACACTACAGTATAAAATTCTCCATTACAACAAAAGTAAAAGTCCTAGATTCAAAATCCCCAAAATCACAGAAGTATATTCAACTAAATGTACTTAAAGTATCAAAAGTAGCCGTTATGCCAAATGGCCCCATTCATGATGGCCTACACTCTGTGGCCACCATATTAGGAACACAGTTTATTGCAATCCAATAAAACCTTTCTGCTTTTGCTTTTAAGAGGTTAAAACACAGATTTCAATATTCTGTTTGCATCTTGGATTCATGGCTACAGAAGCATTTGGCTGAAGGTAGAAGCTGGAATAAAATTGCTGGGTGATGAGCATCCTTCACACTAATAATAATAATAATTAACTTTAGTTGCCACATACAATTATACACAGAACAATGCATGTGAAATTCATTCTCTGCATTTAACCTATCCTAATTAGGAGCGGTGGGCAGCCATTTTGCACCTTCTGGTGTCCTACAGACTGGGGAGTGTAGATCATTCTGTAATATTTTGCTAGTGTGCCTTTATTAAATTAGTCAATTTACGTTTGATTATGTTAGATAAGGGGAAAAAGCCCTGCTTTTACCACACATTTATTTCAAGGGTTTTCTATGTAATAGTATTTTGTCTGATATTTGTGAAGAGGAAAGTCACTGTGGTTTGGAAAGATTTACAGCACCTCTCTTTAATCTCCAGCATGAACACAATACTGTTAATGAACATTTCGTAATCCTGTGTCAATTATCCCTATTTTGACTCTACAGAAGTAACAGCACTGTAAAGAAAATCATCTTCAGACTATTGGTGGATAAAGCATATTTAAGATCAACATTTGTGTAAAACAAATAACACTGTTGGAAGATTCCTTGACATGAATGTACGTTTCTGTTAATATTTCTGCAACTGTTTATCACTGAGTTTCCTGATTCTGTGGAATCACATTAATGATAATCTTCCCCATGTTCTTGTTGGCCTCCATGTGCCTGTGAGCTTCTGCAATGTCCTCCAGGTTGAATGTGCTGTCAATCACTGGCCTCAAGGAGGCTGGCTGGTCTGAGAAATACGGTAACACTCTGCGAGAGAAATCCTCCACCAGGTCGGCTTTGTACTGTGAAGGGGAAATTCAAAGCGGTTTCAAAGTGTGAAAACGAACATGCAAATTGCCTCATTTTGGAAAACCAGACAGAGTGAACAAGGAAGTTCAGCACTGTTGAATTTTCACTTCCCGAGACTCAGCATGTTCACATGCAGAGATGGAGAAACACAGCTGGTGTGTCATTTCTGTTTGGTTTGAATTCTCACCTGAAGGCTGCGAGAGCGGAGGAGGCTGGTGAGCAAGTGGCCTCGCTTGGAGAGCAGTTTGCCTAGCAGGTCTCCCTCTACTGTCCTGCCTCCCATCGTGCCGTACAGCACCCACTTGCCATCGGTGGCTAAGGAGCTCACATTTTGCTCCCAGTTACGCCCACCGATGCAGTCAAGGATGACATTTGCCCCCCTGCCTGTGAAATTACAGTTATTAGTTATACAACGTAACTTGCCAGTTGCCAGGAAATATTTAATCTGCAGCCTCGAATTTGACCCTAACCTCCAAGTGGATCACACTTTTTCTTCTTTGTTTTAGTTCATCAGCAGTGATATAGCCATCTATTAAAAGTTATTATACGTTATCTGTGTGTGTGTACATTTTTAGTTATTTACTACACATAAAAGCACGAGTGATGATATTCTAAATTGTCAACAAGTCCCATGAAAAGAACAAAACCTACTATGATTTGAGCCTGAACATGTGTTGTGTGTGTATCCGAAGCCCGGCAGATGTTATTTCTCTATTTTGTCATTGAGCTCCATTGTTGCCCAAAAACAATTAAAAACTGTTGCACTGGCTTACCTGTTCCCTCATTACCATGCAGGCACACACTAGTTTATCTTGAGAGAATCTCACATGCACCATCCTGCTGCTGTAAATACAATAGTGCATCAAATGTGTATTCATCCCTGGCTGAAAATAGTCCCCAAAATGGATGTGTCAAAATGGATGTCATATTCTTGCTGCAAAACAAATCTACCTACAGGTAGAAATAAAGTAACCTAACCAACAAATGCAGTATTTACTCCTGCTTTAGTACTATAAAACTACAGTGTCCAGCTGTTTTAGGAAAATACTTAACCTTTTAAAAAATAATAACATATTTAATTTGTGACTTTGTGATTTTCAGTAGAAACAAATGGGCCACAGACAGGGAAGGGAGGTCAGAAAGACCAGAGATATGGACTTGGTGACAGTAAGAACTATATGGAATAATCCTTTAAATTTTAACAAGCTCTATTTAGATTTTTAAACATGTCTTTGCTCACCTGAATCCTCTGGTGTACATAAAGTGTTTTACATTTCCATTAACAAATGGTTTGGAACAAAGAGAAATGTAGTTATCATAAGCAGTGACTGCTACTATGACTGTGTGTATGAAAATCCAATGATAACACTTAGTTTGATAGATCACTAATAAGAACAATACAAACACATTACAGCAATGACTAATTAGCCCTGTAACCTGCGACACAGTGAACTGTCTATACCGCTACCCAATTCACCTCCTGTAAAGTTATGAACTCCCTGCACAAAGCTCTCCTCTTTGTAGTTAAACCCAGCTGCTGCTCCCAGATTCTCAGTCATCTTCAGCTTCTCTGGGCTCCCTGCAGTAACAATGGGCACGGCACCAAACAGACGAACCAGCTGAACAGCAGCCGTTCCAACTCCGCTGGCTCCAGCATGAGCCAACACTACCTCACCCTCCTTCACCTGAGCTGTGGCAGAGAAGACAGATTGCAAGATACAAGTGCAGAGTTCAATATTTTTAATTATAGGGTTCTTTGGGGTTGTATAAAATTAAGCGGAAACAAATAGAAAAAATGCTTCACCATCTTTAAATTTATTCTTCTGGATAAACTTGTAATTTTAGTTTAGTTTTAACTTGTTTAGAGCACCACATTTTATTTTTCCAGGAATTTAACAATTTAATAAGATATTATTATTACTATGAATTCTTTATATTTATGGATATTATTAAAACAAAAATACAAAGTGCTTCATGCATAAAATAAAAAAAACATAACTCCAATAAGATAAAAAGAATAGAAAAAAGAAATACACAGAGACAAGGATTATAAATAATGAGATGGTGGTACAGTAGTGTGTTGTTGCCACCAAGAAAACAAATATATGGATTATAATGATGCAGCAAGATAAATATATTATTATAAATAACAAACATGGTTGCTGTACCTATGAAAACTAGAAGCTGAAAAGCAGTGAGCCAGGCCTCCGGGATCGCAGCAGCCTGGCTGTGTGTCAAATTAGGGGGAATGGGCATAAGAAGCTCCTCAGGCACAGCAACATATTCTGCATATCCTCCTCCACAGAGCAAAGCCATGACCCTGTCGTCTGGCTTCCAGCCTCTTTTCACCACTGAGCCCAGAGTATCCACAGTACCAGCCACCTCCAGGCCTATGATGTCACTCTCACCTGGGGGAGGTGGGTACAGTCCTCGCCTCTATGGGGGAAAAAAATAAAGAATATGAGCCGAGATCGTTCCATAATCAGGACTTTACTATTTATGTACAAAACATGTTGACACATCACATGTAAGATAATCACATTTAGCAGAAAAACATATGTATATCAAGGAGATTATAGTGTACTTATCCTTTGCAAGAATGTATACTGTACTATACCTGCAGTAAGTCTGCCCTGTTGAGGGCAGTTGCATGAACTTTAATTAGAACTTCTCCATCTTTAGGTTGAGGTCTAGGGACAGTTCGCAGCAGCAAATTCTCTGGTCCTCCTGGTACGTCAACACACACTGCCCGCATCATCTTGGCAAAGCTAGAGCAACACTTGTTCCAGGCCGATAGGAGGAAGAAAAAAATGTTTAAAATCTATAATTTAGTCATGAAACAAATGCCTGACTTGGTAGTCTAAAGCTGGTTAACACATCATTAATTTAACCTATAGCCACGTTATAAAAGCTTTTCCTTTTGCTAACACTCACTGTCTGGTAGGTGTGTCCCAGTAAAAATCTTCCAGTGTGCAGGATGTGATGCATTTGATAGTCCCAGCAGAGGCAACTGTGATTTGATTGTAAAAGAAAAATAAGAAAAACTTGATAGGAAAAAAAAATTGTCATTGTCATTTCCCATCCATCTACCAGGTGCCCTAAGACTTTCCCTTATTTCCCAATCATCTGATTGCCCCATCCATCAACTGACCTGTTCCCATTTCTCTCATCCGCCCTGCAGTTACCCAATGTTCCCTGCCCACCTGCCCACACTACTCATCAGTCCTCCAGATATTTACCCAGCCCATTTTTTTCACTCCCTGTCAGTTTGTCTTAGTTGCATTGTATTTTTATGTTCATCTGTTACAATAATGTTCAATAAATCACTCAAGTCTTCCTGCTGGCCTCCTGTCAACATTTAGTCCTTTCCATCTTGCCAGCCTCCTGTACAACCTTGACAATATGAGTTTCGTTGTTGTTCATATGCCAACAAGAATCTATGTGATGTTAAAAATAAGTTAGTGTATCCTCTTTAAGCAGTGCCAATAAACTCAGAGGCAGGTATCTCCAACCCTGTAGGCACAAAAACTATCTGCATAGCTAAATATGGTTAAAAAAAAATACCATTACTATTACTTTATAATTTAAAAAGCATGTACCCATAGATGGAGACAAATTATGGGCCATTTGGTATTTCAGTACATGGAGCAGAGCTAAAACATGTAGCTAGCAAGCCCAGAGAGCTTAGCTGTGTAGTGAACACGGCTGTGAAGAATAACAAAACTATTTAGGAGAAGAAACAGAAAGAAGAAGGACTAAAAACACCACAAGAGGAAGTAAAAGAGAGAAGGGGACGCTGGTGTATAGAGTTCAGTAGTGAAATGACAGAGGGTCAGTGAAGTCCCACGATTACGTTATACGTAATGATCTGTTACGTTGAACGCCTGCGCTGTAGGTCAAAAGGTCAGGGTATGTTCTTGTGCATTAAGGAAAAAGTATGTTTGGTTAAAGCGTCGACAAGTTTGATAGTGTTATAAAGTTCGACTAGAAGAAAATACACACGTTAATAATATGCAGCGCGGGAGGGATCAGACAACCAGGTGGGCGGGTTTCTGGCATATGACCTGGCAGTTTAAAGGAATATACTGCACAATACTGTTTAAATTGTAATCATCAATAGGACCACTGAGGCCATGTCCTTAATTTAAAGCCAATATTATTCTTAAATGTGACTTTTCTGGCAAAACAAGTTAAATAAAAGTAAAATTAAAGGATTGGTCTTGTAACTAACTATAATTAATATTTAATCTTTTTCATTCAATCCTTTATTACATTTAATGTCAGCAAATTGTTCAAAATTACCATTACCTTTTGTGGAAAGTAGGCTAATGAAGTACATTTACTCAAGTACCGTACTTTAGTATAATTTTCAGGTGGTTGTACTTTATTTTAGTATTTCCGTTTTCTGCTACTTTATACTTCTGCTCCTCTATGGTTCAAAAGGAAATATGGTACTTTTTACTCCACTAGGCTAATTTGCAGAATCTGATTAATAATACACAATGTAATCCAAAAATTAAAATTCTAAATTATTAAAAGATAAATCTTCATTGATGGAGGGGAATCACAGGCTACCCATACAGCTCTTATAAAGTAAAATAATTTAAATTAGCGCCACCTTTTATATTTATTTAACTGCAACATTACAATGATGAACACATACATACATCAATAATTAAAATCAAATATAATAAACATTATTCTGAGTACTTTTACTACTTTCAGTATATTATGATGCAAATAGGCTACTCTTGTACTTTGATGCAAGTAAAATTGAAATGCACAACTTTTACTTTAGACGTGTGTATTGTAATGTATTTTTACACTGTGGGTATTGCTAGTTTGACTTAAATACAACATCTTTCAATATTTTCTGTTTGAATACTCTACTACTACCCATCATGCTATTTCTGTTAATACTGTACATATTATTTGAGATATTTCCTTCTTTATTATCATTTCTGTTCCTTGACATGCAAGCTGAGCAATTGTGAGAAAGGAATTTCCCCTCGAGGATCAATAAGTATTTCTGATTCTGAGTACTTCTTCACCTCTGGCCTTTACAAGCCCACATCAACTTCTTCAAATGTCTTGTTTTGCCCAGCCAGCAGTCTAAAACCTCAAAAGGTCAGTTTACTATGATAGAAGACAACCAGAAAATAATCACAGCATACACAGGCCTGATTAAAGGGTTAAAATGCAGTTCTGGTTCAACATATTCTTCTGAGACTCTCCCTTGTGTTTGTATGTGTAGTGGTTTACCATTACAGTTTATATATATAAATAAATAAATAAATAAATAAATAAGGCCTCCCCTGCTGTAAAAACATTATTATGATGGTTTAGGCAAATATTTTATATTTCATAATTACAACATAATTTTTTATCATAATAAAAATATTCCAGCACTTATCAGCACAACCTATAGTATAACATACAACTCACTTAACAGTGAAAATTCATGTGAGAAAGTAATTCTTTATTCATTCTTCCCCAAAGCACTAGACCTCCATAACATGAGACAAAACACGTGATGGAAGTACTTTTCACAAAGGGAGTCATTGTCATTGGTTAATTTGCACAAGTTGCGAGAAGCCCGGTGACTGCACACCACCTTGAAATTGAATCTCTAGGAAATGTGACAGTACACAATGACTAACAGCCCCAACCACTTTACTTAAATAATGTTCAATAAATCACTCAAGTCTTCCTGCTGGCCTCCTGTCAACATTTAGTCCTTTCCATCTTGCCAGCCTCCTGTACAACCTTGACAATATGAGTTTCGTTGTTGTTCATATGCCAACAAGAATCTATGTGATGTTAAAAATAAGTTAGTGTATCCTCTTTAAGCAGTGCCAATAAACTCAGAGGCAGGTATCTCCAACCCTGTAGGCACAAAAACTATCTGCATAGCTAAATATGGTTAAAAAAAATACCATTACTATTACTTTATAATTTAAAAAGCATGTACCCATAGATGGAGACAAATTATGGGCCATTTGGTATTTCAGTACATGGAGCAGAGCTAAAACATGTAGCTAGCAAGCCCAGAGAGCTTAGCTGTGTAGTGAACACGGGTGTGAAGAATAACAAAACTATTTAGGAGAAGAAACAGAAAGAAGAAGGACTAAAAACACCACAAGAGGAAGTAAAAGAGAGAAGGGGACGCTGGTGTTACAGAGTTCAGTAGTGAAATGACAGCGGGTCAGTGAAGTCCCACGATTACGTTATACGTAATGATCTGTTACGTTGAGCGCCTGCGCTGTAGGTCAAAAGGTCAGGGTATGTTCTTGTGCATTAAGGAAAAAGTATGTTTGGTTAAAGCGTCGACAAGTTTGATAGTGTTATAAAGTTCGACTAGAAGAAAATACACACGTTAATAATATAGCTGCCAATTTCACCGTGAATCGCTCTGTTATCTTTAATTTATGTTCAAGCATTAAAGGTAAATGTACTTACCAGCAGACGATGTCAACAGTGCATCAACTTTGAGATGAATGAATGAGGTTTTGTGCCATCTTCCAGACAAGAAGCTTAACTTTCGTCCAGCGCGGGAGGGATCAGACAACCAGGTGGGCGGGTTTCTGGCATATGACCTGGCAGTTTAAAGGAATATACTGCACAATACTGTTTAAATTGTAATCATCAATAGGACCACTGAGGCCATGTCCTTAATTTAAAGCCAATATTATTCTTAAATGTGACTTTTCTGGCAAAACAAGTTAAATAAAAGTAAAATTAAAGGATTGGTCTTGTAACTAACTATAATTAATATTTAATCTTTTTCATTCAATCCTTTATTACATTTAATGTCAGCAAATAGTTCAAAATTACCATTACCTTTTGTGGAAAGTAGGCTAATGAAGTACATTTACTCAAGTACCGTACTTTAGTATAATTTTCAGGTGGTTGTACTTTATTTTAGTATTTCCGTTTTCTGCTACTTTATACTTCTGCTCCTCTATGGTTCAAAAGGAAATATGGTACTTTTTACTCCACTAGGCTAATTTGCAGAATCTGATTAATAATACACAATGTAATCCACAAATTAAAATTCTAAATTATTAAAAGATAAATCTTCATTGATGGAGGGGAATCACAGGCTACCCATACAGCTCTTATAAAGTAAAATAATTTAAATTAGCGCCACCTTTTATATTTATTTAACTGCAACATTACAATGATGAACACATACATACATCAATAATTAAAATCAAATATAATAAACATTATTCTGAGTACTTTTACTACTTTCAGTATATTATGATGCAAATAGGCTACTCTTGTACTTTGATGCAAGTAAAATTGAAATGCACAACTTTTACTTTAGACGTGTGTATTGTAATGTATTTTTACACTGTGGGTATTGCTAGTTTGACTTAAATACAACATCTTTCAATATTTTCTGTTTGAATACTCTACTACTACCCATCATGCTATTTCTGTTAATACTGTACATATTATTTGAGATATTTCCTTCTTTATTATCATTTCTGTTCCTTGACATGCAAGCTGAGCAATTGTGAGAAAGGAATTTCCCCTCGAGGATCAATAAGTATTTCTGATTCTGAGTACTTCTTCACCTCTGGCCTTTACAAGCCCACATCAACTTCTTCAAATGTCTTGTTTTGCCCAGCCAGCAGTCTAAAACCTCAAAAGGTCAGTTTACTATGATAGAAGACAACCAGAAAATAATCACAGCATACACAGGCCTGATTAAAGGGTTAAAATGCAGTTCTGGTTCAACATATTCTTCTGAGACTCTCCCTTGTGTTTGTATGTGTAGTGGTTTACCATTACAGTTTATATATATAAATAAATAAATAAATAAATAAATAAATAAGGCCTCCCCTGCTGTAAAAACATTATTATGATGGTTTAGGCAAATATTTTATATTTCATAATTACAACATAATTTTTTATCATAATAAAAAATATTCCAGCACTTATCAGCACAACCTATAGTATAACATACAACTCACTTAACAGTGAAAATTCATGTGAGAAAGTAATTCTTTATTCATTCTTCCCCAAAGCACTAGACCTCCATAACATGAGACAAAACACGTGATGGAAGTACTTTTCACAAAGGGAGTCATTGTCATTGGTTAATTTGCACAAGTTGCGAGAAGCCCGGTGACTGCACACCACCTTGAAATTGAATCTCTAGGAAATGTGACAGTACACAATGACTAACAGCCCCAACCACTTTACTTCTAATATAATAGGCTTTTATATTGCAGCCATAGCAGCAAACACCTGTGTAACACATCGCTCTGGGGGACTTTGCACACAAATCAGGTAGGCAAATGACATTTGTCGCTTTAATTTAAAGAAAAAGTGACTAAATTGGAGAAAGAAATGTACTCAAAAACATATTTCTCTCTCAAGCCTTTGTATATAATGGATGAAAGTCTCAGAAGAGCTGGTGTGCTGCAGAGAGATCTGAGAGTGTTGAACCAAAAGGAGGACAGGGATCTCCAGCATAAACTAAACATGCTGGACAAACAGTACAGGTACACTTGCAAAATGCTTCAACAAAGAAGAGACTTGCTGATAAATGAACAGAGAAGAGTTGTGATGGTAAAAGTCTGTGAGCCTAAAGCTACGGTCAACATCGCTATGAAAGAAATCGGAGAGCACAATAATGCAGAGACACACTTTAGAGATATTAAAACCTCTCATGGCAGGAGATTGTATTCCAGCAAATCCCAGTATTACGACAAAGGATCAGAACTGGTGGAACAGAGTCGGTCGACATCAGCACCACTGCCATCAGTCAAACCCACCAGCTCAGTGAGACACAGGGGCAACATCCAGAGCAGCCTTTCTCTCATGCAAATGAAAAACATTGCGACTATTGACTCAATCTCAGAAAAAGAGCTGGCCAGGCAACAGCAGAAAGCCCGAGAGGAAATGGAGCGGCTGAGACAGTTTCAGAGTGAAACTTTACACAGCAGGGTGGCGGCATTCGTAGAACAACTCAAGGACAAAAGCACCATGCAAATCCTTGTGGAACCCCCATAGAGAAACTCGACAGTTTCTATTTGCAGTTTAATACCTCAACATTAAGAAAAAAAGTTTTATTATAAACAATGGGAATGTACACCTCCCCCCCCCCAGTCTCACTATTTTACACAATATTCCCCATCTTCCTCATGGTTATCAAAGCTTTGTGCACAGGAGTCTGCTGGAGTAGGCTGCAGTTTTTCTTCCACTCTGGAGAATGAGAGAGCTCCTTGTCTGCAAACAAAGTCAATATTACAACAAAATGTTACTGCATATTACCAGCACTAGCATATTTGTTACAGTGGGGCCAAAAAGTATTAGTCACCCACTGATTGTGCAAGTTATCCTACTTAGAAAGATGAGGTCTGTCATTTTGATCATAGGTACACTTCAACTATGAGACAAAATGAGAAAGAGTTAAAATTCAGGAAATCACTCAGGATTTATTTAAAAGAATTTATTTGTAGTAAGTTATGATAGAAAATAATATTTTGTCAATAACAAAAGTTCAACTCAATACTTTATAACATAACCTTTGTTGGCAATGACAAAGGTCAAACGTTTCCTGTAAGTCTTCACCAGGTTTGAACACACTGTAGCTGGTATGTTGGCCCATTCCTCCATGCAGATCTCCTCTAGAGCAGTGATGTTTTGGGTCTGTCGCTGGGCAACACGGACCGTCAACTCCCTCCACAAATTTTCTATGGGGTTGAGGTCTGGAGACTGGCTAGGCCACTCCAGGACCTTGAAATGCTTTTTAACGGAGCCACTCCTTTGTTGCCCGAGCGGTGTGTTTGGGATCATTGTCATGCTGGAAGACCCAGCCACGTTCCATCTTCAAGGCTCTCACTGATGGAGGTTTTGGCTTAAAAATTTCACGATACACGGCCCCGTTCATTCTTCCCTTCACACAGATCAGTTTTCCTGTCCCCTTTGCAGAAGAACAGTCCCAAAGCATGATGTTTTCTCCCCCATGCTTCACAGTAGGTATGGTGTTCTTGGGATGCAACTCTGCATTCTTCTTCCTCCAAACATGACGAGTTGAGTTTTTAACAAAGAGTTCTATTTTGGTTTCATCTGACCACATGATATTCTCCCAGTCCTCTTCTGGATCATCCATATGCTCTCTGGCAAACTTCAGACGGGCCTGGACATGTGCTGGCTTAAGCAGGGGGACACAGCTGGCACTGCAGGATTTGAGTCCCGCTCGGCATAGTGCGTTACTGATGGTAGCCATTGTTACTTTGGTCCCAGCTCTCTGCAGGTCATTCATCAGGTCCCTCCATGTAGTTCTGGGATTTTTGCTCACCGTTCTCATGATCATTTTGACCCCACGGGGTGAGATCTTGCGTGGAGCCCCAGATCGAGGGAGATTATCAATGGTCTTGTATGTCTTCCATTTTCTTACAATTGCTCCCACAGTTGATTTATTCACACCAACCTGCTTGCCTATTGTAGATTCACTCATCCCAGCTGGGAGCAGGTCTACAATTTTCTCCCTGGTGTCCTTTGACAGTTCTTTAGTCTTGGCCATGGTTGAGTTTGGAGTCTGACTGTTTGAGGCTGTGGACAGGTGTCTATTATACAGATAACGAGTTCAAACAGGTGTCTTTTATACAGATAACGAGTTCAAACAGGTCCCATTAATACAGGTAACGAGTGGAGGATAGAAGAGCTTCTTAAAGAAATTACAGGTCTGAGAGAGCCAGAAATCCTGCTTGTTTGTGGGTGACCAAATACTTATTTTCCACCATAATTTACAAACAAATTCTTTAAAAATCCTACAATGTGATTTTTTTCCCTCATTTTGTCTCTCATAGTTGAAGTGTACCTATGATGAAAATTATAGACCTCTCTCATATTTCTAAGTAAGAGAACTTGCACAGTGACTGACTAAATACTTTTTGGCCCCACTGTATATGGAAATATTCTCCATTTGAATATGTAAACTTCAATATTTCCTGACCGGAATCTACGCAGCTTCCCTGTCTGCAAAGACATCAATTTATCACTTTATTATTGAAAAACCAACAGATTTTTAATTCATCCTCTTATGTTCCAAATGCTGTTGTGTAATTTGGGGCTGAAGTGATTGTTTTTTATTATTGCACAATCTATTCTTTTGTTCCCTCTTCAAATTGTCAATGTATGAATTAATTGTTTAGTTTATTTAAAGTAGGGTAATTGTTCTTGCAAACCATACAGACAGGTACATTGGATAAAAACTCTCAATGTAAAATAAAGGCCCGTACACTGTTGGCCACTTTATTAAATACGTTTCTCTCCTGAGACCCTTCCTTGAAGTCATTTTACAATGATCAAAATGATTTTCTGAATATGGGATTTCTCGTTTCTTTCCTTTTCTATAAACTAGTGAAAAATGCACATAACAATTTCACAAGTGCAAATGATGTCCAAACAGTCAAAAACCAAAGGATATGAATGATTGACTATCTTTCTGTCAGTGGCCTAATATTCAGTGCATGTTGTAAAACACACACAGAGGCTGATGTGAACACAGTTTAGATTTATGTGTGAGTGTAAAAATTAATGTTTAGTTCTACCCTCCATCACTGCGTCTACAGGTAGGCGTCTAACCCTAACCTCCTTGTGTTATGGATTATATTGGCACAGATACAGCACATAGCTATCTGTCTGAGTTGGGAAACTTCTGCAGTATAAAAACCTCTACCTTCACAGTCAAAGTGGACCCGTGTGGGAAGACATCTGGTGTGGTCGGTGTAGTCAAGCGTGCAGAGAACAGGCGTCTTCTCTCTAGGCACAGTGAACATCATCACCAATATTGAACACAAAGCATTGCTCTCCATCACTTCCACGGACGTATGGAGTTCCTATAAAGAAGCACGAGGACAGGGTTATTCTACCAGAGCAAGTGTATGTCGTTTACACGCTAGTCATCTGTCTATGAGAGATTATCAAAGCCTTGAATATAATGTAAAGAACCATTTAATTTCTTGCACTTTGTTCATCTGTTAAGAAATGTGCAAAAAAAGAAAAAAGACTTTTACTGCACTACACCATAATACAAAAGTATGTTATCTGAGTGTTTGATATGTTGGTGTTATGACAGATCTATTAGTATCATAAACAGTGTGTTATCAGAACTGTAAAATTAAATTGTAGCACAAATGTTTTATAGGCTGCTTTTACCCCCCTTTCTTAATTGAACTTTAGTACATTTATTAATTTATAACATTTCAACAATTCTCAACGATTTATGTCATTGTTGATTAATCTATTGATTGTTTTCTCATTGACTCTTTTAGTCTATATAATGTAAGACAATGGTACAAAACGCCCATCACAATTGTTCAGAGCCCAAGTGGAAATATTTAAATTACTTGTCTTTTCTTACACACAGTCCAGATATATTCAGTTTACTATTATAGATAAGAAGACGACAAATCCATGAAACATTTGGAAAGCTAGAACCAATGAAGTTTTGTTATTTGTGCTTTAGAAACGTAAACAATTAGTCAATTATTAAAATGGTTGCCAGTTGGACTAACTGATCGATTAATTGTTGTTCTTCTAATGCACATTATATTTACTGCAACTTTCATCTTTGATCACACCTGATGAAAAAAAGGCCTGTACAGAATCCCACCTTGGTCTAATTGTTGTATACTAAAGATGACATCCAGACACTTCCACAACCACTGACAAACGACTTCCTTAAGACATATTATGAGATATTATTTAACACAAAAAAAAAGCAAAGTTGGGCACCTTCACAAACTTCAACTGCTGCTTGCGACCGGCAAAGGCGTTGAGATGTTGGTTGAGGGTATCCAGAAACATCCTCATGTCTTTCTGCATGTTGTTCTGTTCAGCCAGCCTGTTCAAGGGAATGAACGGGGGAATGTTGTGACGACTGATTCTCAGCGTTGGCTTCAGGTCCATCTCTAGGTTGTAGGTTTCTAAGTAGACGCCCTCGTAGGCCGTTGCCAGAGACACGCACAGTCCTTTACCTTGACGAGTCTTTATGACATTGTAACCACCTAGTGACATCAGCGAATAAAACAGAGAGGTTGAAGAGTAATGACTTGGACATATGAGATATACAAGAGACATGTATAGATTTGGATGAAATTAATGAAAACATCATAAATAGCAAAATAAATATAAGTATATAAGTAAATTAAACAACTTGCAGTTAGTACCAATGATGTGATGAGCATATAGGAGGTCTTTCAGTTGTGTATGTCTGGCCATCAGCCGCAGTAGTTGCGAGTTCTCTGAGTCTTCATCCATTTCCCCCTCTTCCTCATGTGGATGCTGTTTGTCCATAGATGCCCTCAGTTTCTGTAGATTCTGTGGCAGGACAGTGTAACCAGCCCCAATGAATCAGCCAACATTAAAAACACAAGAAAGTGCAGCATTGTCAGTAAAGCTAGTGATACACAGGGTGACTTATTTTAGGTCATTAAAGTGTGCTCAGCGAGCTGCATCAGCACTCTGGAGAGTCGAGGCACGGCTCATTCCAACACAATTTACTCTAACTTGCTGCAATGAAAGCCTGCACTCTTCTGGGAAGTGTTTTTGCAGCATTTCTGGTATGTGGAGCATTAGTGAGGTCGGCAACTGATGTTTTGTGATAAGTCTCTGGTTTTTACCAGGAAGGGTATGAACATTTTAAATCTTAAACGTAAGTAGTAACTGATCATCAACTGATCATAATGAGAAATACTTTATTGATCCCCGAGGGGAAATTCTTTGTTATAATTACTCACTTTGCATATCAAGATATTAAGGAATAGAAATAATAACAGAAACTAGTTAAGTAGAAAATGCAATGAAATATACAAATTTAAAATCTAAATATATTTGTCTTAAGAAGCAAATGGAGTGGTATAAAATTTTTGCCTCTGAGATGTAACGTTAGTGGAGTAGAAACAAAGTTGCATAAAATGGAAATACTCAAGTACAAGTACCTCAAATATGTACTGAAGCGCAGTAACGTTAACGTTAAGTAAAATCCCCATCATTGGTGAAGATATAGGTAGAGCTGTCGCATTAGTCTTATCTAAGTGTACCTAATAAAGTGATTATTTGTAATCATATCTCGCTAAAAAAAAAAAAAAACGTTAACAAGTCACAAGTATTAGTGAAAACGGTGTGAAACTCCTCCACCTTGTGTGTCTGTATCTCTGCCCTCAGCTGGTCTCTCTGGGTCATCAGCGCTTCTCTTCTAGCCTTTAGCTCCTTCGCACGACTCGACTGCTGCGGTTGAGTTTTGCGGCTTCTTGCCTGAACTTCCAGCAGACTCAGGTGACTCAAAACACCTGCGGATAATCGGATGAAAAATACCCATATTAACTCTTATAGGGCATAAATGAAAATTGTGAATATTACTCTAATCAACCTTTTTCAGCCAGCATTAGCTAACGGAGCATCAAAACAAACTACGTTATACGCTAATAGCTAGCTATCAGTTCCGGTAAGCTAGCTTCCAACGGTCCGGGTTACCTTTCGCAGTCGCTCCCTCCATGTTTCCCAACTCTCTATTTAGTGTTAAATAATGTAGTTTCACCGAAGACGATAATCACAAGTTGTGGCTATTTGATTTTGGCGGCTGCTGTGTCACTCGTTGTAGCGCCGCCCAACAGCTTCAACCCCGGAAGAAAAATCAAAACAATTTGTAAACATATGGACCGACAGATTAGCGAGGTGGTAGGTTAATTTAACAACTTCTATGAGCACAAACGAAGAGGTAATAAAATGAGATTTCATCGTCTAGAGATTGAGCACAATGTAATGTCTGCAGTTCTTGTTTTTTAGCCACAAAGATATTCAAACAAGTTGTTTTCAAGTAACGTGGCGCTCTTGAATGTCTCAATGAACAGCATGGTGCCATTGACAGTGAGCCGGAAACAGGAGTGCAGGCGTGTAAAGGTGAGTCTGCCTCATGTTCTTATTTTTCTAATATCATTTTTATTCACATTCAGTCCAGTTAAGCACTTGTTGTCAGAGATGTGAGGGCCATTGGGTGCAGTAGCTTAATTTCCCTAGGAAGCCCGTATCAGCAGATGAATCGCTCTATTTATTTATAGATAATACAGCTAAAGTTACAGCAGCAGTGTCTTCATGTTAAGTGTTAAGTGCCTGCGGCTGCATTGCTCCAGCCTGCAGGGCTTAACACTTAGTTTATAGGTGCCTTATTGTACTTTGTGCTGTCTGCTATGGTTATGTTTGGGTTTGAATTGAACCGATTAGTCAGTTGACTGAAAATATATCGGCTCTTATTGTGGTTATTGAGTTATCTTGAGTTTTTTAAGCAGAAATACCATTCTCGGGATCTAGCTTTTCAAATGTGAGCATTTGTTGTTTTTTATGTTTTAAATCTCTGTATATGAATATCGTGGGGGCTGTTGATCAGACAGGGCAGGACATTTGAAGACCCAAGGGCATTTGTCAATATTTTCTGACGTTTTAAAGACCATGATTATGTAAAAATTGAGAAAATAATCGTCATATTAATCCTCAGTGAAAATAAATTTAGTTGCAGCAGCCCTAGTATGAGAATGTGATAATACATTATTATTATTATGAAAAGGGTTGCAAAAGAAGGATTATTTTCATTAAGGATTAATCAGACTATTTGATTAATCATTATGTAATTAAAACTGTTGTTTATCACAAAAACTGATCACAATTTCTAATTTGAAAGTGATGTCTTTAAATTACTTGTTTTGTTCAACAGTTCAAAGCCTACAAATATTCAATTTATCACCACGTAAGACAAAGAAAAGCATCAAATCATCACACTTGAAAAGTTGGAACTTTTAGCATAAAAAACTGACTCAAAACTCAAATTACTCCATTATCAAAAGAGATGCTGATGAAATTTTCTGTTACTTGTTTCAGCTCAAATTATTTGTGTCCTGTGGATTTTAATGTGATTTTTAAAAAACTGTTTATATTAGTAAAGACAACGAACAATATCTGCATAATTTGAGTAACAATGATTTCTAAATAATTTTTCCTGTCTCTTTTTGAGACATAGACCCATTTGTAGCTTTTGGCCTTCAAAACCCTCAGAGATTGGTTCCTGCTGTTTGTCTTTGTGGTGTAGCAGGGCACCTCCCCTTTGAACCTCCCATTTCCAAACCAGTAGTCAGTATTTTTGGATCAACTCAAGCAGGGGAAAGTTGAAACAGAGGCTCTGTGACCTTGATTTGTCTACACTGAGTTTCGTTCCTCAGACCAGGTTGTCTTCTGTTGCAAACGGTTATGTTTATGTGGTAACAGTAAGGCAGCAGTGATTTCACCTTCTCACTGTCTGTATGGGAAGGAATATAAATCTGTAAAAACAGTTCAATGAAATCCATGGCTTGGGGAGAGTGCATGGCAGGGGGGTTAAGTTTATTTCCTTGCCTGTTAAGCAAAGTGATTTGTTCATAAAAAGTGTTGTACAGAGTTACAACTACAGCTACAGCTTTGAATGATTGTGGCTAAATGTCATCAAATCTTGTTCTCTATGTATTTAATCAGTGTTTTCAATTTGCTGTACTTTCTTCAAGGCTGCTGGACTCTTCTGACTGATGGGTGTGGACAAACACATTTCCTATCCGTCTGAATGTGTGTCTGTAGGAGAACCAAACCTCCAGCTGCGGCCGGGACTTCAAGACCGTTAAGATGGACCTGTCTGACCAGAAGCACTTCACGGCTGTAGACTATGTGATATTTGTGCTCTTGCTTGCTGCCTCTGTGGGCATCGGGCTGTACTATGCTCTTTCGGGTGGCCGTCAGCGCACTACACAGGAGTTTTTGATGGCAGACAGGAACATGCACTGTCTTCCAGTTTCGTTGTCGCTCATCGCCTCATTCCAGTCTGCTGTGGCAATTATAGGTGTACCGGCAGAAATCTACACTCACGGTACTCAGTACTGGTTCATCGGCTGTGCATACATTCTGGGCCTCATCATTCCTGCTCATGTTTTCATTCCGGTGCTGTACAGACTGCGGCTCTCCAGCGCATACCAGGTATGGCAAAGCAGTTTTATATTTACAGTTGAAGTGGATTTAAATGAGTTCATATTTATGTTGTGTATCCCTGTTTGAGCTACAGTTCTCATGTTGCTTTGTTTCACAGTATCTTGAACTGCGCTTCAACAAAGCAGTGCGTATCTGTGGAACTTTGACCTTCATCTTTCAGACGGTAGGTGCAACACTTCACATAATAAACTAAACTAAAAGGATGCACCAATCCGGCTTTTCCTCTCTCAATAACAACCCGAATACCTCAACAGAGTCAAATACCGAGGGATGCAGGATCAATCTGAAGGCGATTATGACCTTATTAAAGGAATAGTTCAACATTTTGGAAAATACACTTATTTGCTTTCTTTACCTAAGAGTTAGACAAGAAAAATGATACAACTCAAGTTTGTATGGTATACATGAAGCTAAAGCCACTTCACTATATATAAAAGGTGTTTGTGGCTTAAATCACCCTCTTTGTGTGATGCCTTCAAGAGAGAGAGACAGACAGAGAGAGAGAGAGAGACAGAGAGACAGACAGACAGAGGTGACCAGGAGGTAAAAGTGGAGTCTGGGTGTTTATATGCAAGTGGGGTGAAGAGAGAGACCCTCCTCTGTGGGACAGCCGATGAGAGAAGATGAAGAGCAAAATCTCCAACGCCCTCTCCGACTTCTTCTTTGAGTATGAGACCCCACGGCAGGTGCTGGTCAGGAACAGGAGAGTGGGAGTGGTGTGCCGTCTGATCCAGCTTGGGGTCCTGGCTTTTATATATATATATATATATATATATATATATATATATATATATATATATATATAAACAATTTTCCATATCAGTCACTTGTGAATATAAAAGGTGTATTTTATATGTCTTATTCTTCTATTATATTTAATATTTTTCAATTCTATTTTTATTTAATGAGTATTTTCTGTTCTGTGTTGTATCTGGAGCTACTGTAACAAGTGACTTTCCCCAGTGTGGGATTAATAAAGTCTATCTTATCTTATCATAAAGACTGGAAACATTGCAAAACAGCCAGCCTGGCTCTGTCCAAAGGTAACTAAATCCACCTACAAGCACCTCTAAAGCTTATTAATTAACATGTTGTGACTTGTTTGTTTGATCTGTACAAAAACCAATGCGTAGAATTTAGAAGGTGTGGTTTTACTGTGGGATATGCCGGACTGTTGGACAAGTGCAGTTATCTTTGGACAGAGCCAGGCTAGCTTGTTATGCTAAGCTAAGATAACCGGCTGCTGCCTCCAGCATTATATTTAGTGTACAAACATAAGAATGGTACTGATCTTCTCATGTAACTCTCTGCAAGAAAGCAAATATTTGTCTGCACAACATCAATACCTGGATGTCAACAAACTTAATCAAACTGAACGAGAACAAAACAGAACTCCTCATTGTGGCTCTCAAAGCGCTGCTCCAGAAGATCCTGGATGCTGACGCATGCTCCATCTGTTCATCCTATCAGTTCCGCAACCTTGGGGTCATCCTGGACTCTTCTAGCCTCATGTCAAAACCATCACCAAATCCACCTTTTTCCATCTCAAAAACCTCTCATGACTCCGGCCATCACTCTCTGACTCCGTGGCAGAAACCCTAATACAAGCTTTTATAACTTCTCCTTTGCACTATTGCAGTTGAGTCCTGTAGGGGATCCCCAGCAAAACCCTTTACATGCTTGTCCAAAACTCAGCCACCAGGGTCTTCACCTGCACCAAGACCTGGCAGCACATCAGCCCAACCTTCATCCACCTCCACTGGCTCCCAATCAAGTCCAGCATCAACTACAAAATCCTCCTTCTCACCTACAAATCCCTCCATGCCCTTGCCCCACAGTACCTCTGACCTCCTCAATATCCATCCATATACCCGACACCAGAACTTCTGGTCCTCAGAAGCTGGCCTGTTCTCCTTTCCCCACACCAGACTGTGTGTCTTAGGGGACAGAGCCTTCAGTATTGCAGCCCTGACCCTCTGGAATACCTCCCTGCAGATATTCATAATGCTTCATCCCTGAACATGTTTTAAAAAACTCCTCAAACACCATCAATGCACCACAGCCTGGAAACTCCCTTAGTGCTTTTGTATCTGAACATATCATGTATAAAGTGTCCTTGAGTTTCATGAAAGGCTCTATATAAATTTAAATGATGATAATTATTATTATAAGCATATTTCTCAAAAAGTTGAACTGGTCGGTCAGTTTTGCCCCGATACTGATCCATTGAAAAAGGACTGGTGCATCCACATAAAGAAAGCCTTGAAAACACAAGAGATGCATTTACTTATTTCCTTCAAGGTCTTTATTTTATAGACTTTTTATAGAGTGGATAGTCTCTGATTTGTCTTTTACTCGGCTACAGGTTATCTATATGGGACTGTGTGTGTATACTCCCGCCTTTGCACTGAACACAGGTACAAAAAGTTCCAATATTTCACTGTGACGCATTAATTTTGAATAGCTCTGTAGTTGAGTGTGTTACCGTGTTTTCTTTCAGTTACTGGATTTGAATTATGGGGAGCAGTGATGGCCACTGGACTAGTGTGCACAATGTACACAACACTGGTGAGTTATTAAGGGTTGTGTTCATAAAGCTTGTCTAAAAATTGGAATGTACTATGAAGTTTTTCTCATGATTTCCAACTCTTATTTTTGTGGGGGGTTTTGGTACCTAAACAGGCCTTATGAAAGGTGGCATGTCTCTCTTGACAGCTCAGGAGTGACTTTATCTCTCTACAAATATTTACCACTTGAAATTCTGTAGAATTACATTTGGCTTTGGCAGGAATGTAATACAGTATATTTAATCTCAGAAATGAAAAAAAAATATGAATGAATCACATGTCTATTTTAGACATACTGTGCATTAATATAAAGTGGAAATATTAATGATATGACTGTAAACTGAGACAGATATCTAATATTTGAATGAATAATATATTTACATGTATCAGATTGATTCCTGTGTGTTGTCTGTTTCTGACAGGGTGGTTTAAAGGCTGTCATCTGGACAGACGTCTTTCAGACTGTTGTGATGTTTGCTGGGCAGCTGGCTGTCATCGTGGTGGGAGTGCAGCAGACTGGAGGAGTGTCTGAAGTCTGGAGGAAAGTCTATGAAGGAAACCACATCTCTGCTCTCGAGTGAGTCCATACTGGAGTGTAGGAGAATGACCAGATTACAATGATAATGTTAATCTGTTAGAGTGAAAGTATGTCTCCGTACTGTACTTAAATTCTCGCTTTTGTTCAGTCTAAACCCTGATCCTACAGAGAGACATACCTTTTGGACTCTGGGAGTTGGCGGCGTCTTCCTCATGCTGTCCCTGTATGGAGTGAACCAGGCTCAGGTCCAAAGATATCTCAGCTCGCGCACAGAGAAAGAGGCTGTCAGGTACACAGACTGTAGATCTCCTTGTTTTTAATTTGATGCTAAAATTAAGCGTTTTTCACGTTATACTTTTTTTAAATGATTTAACTGTGAAAGAAGATGAAGAGTTTTTTAAACTTCTGTCAGCTTGCAGATTAAAATAGATAATAAGATTAGAATAAAAATTTCCCCTTATTTTACATATTTTTGGTTGATTGCACTGTGTGAACTGTAAAAAAGTGCATATCAACTAAATAGCTACAGTCATGTTTGCATTGTAAATAAGTATTTGCATTAAAGATATTTCAGGACAGCAATGCCAATGATGTGTTTGACGTTAGCTTCTGTTAGCATTTAGTTTTTCCACCAGAGAGCACCGACACAGACAGATGGTCAAGTTGGTCGGTCGTCCACGATTTGATTTGATTTCAAACATTCAGGTTCCCAGAAGATGAATCCTACTTACTTTGTTGATCCCTAAACACCAGCATGTTAGCATTTAGCTAAAAGCACCATTGTGTCGAAGTACAGCCTCAGAGAACTGCTAGAACTGCTTTAGACTCTTAGTCTTTTTTTTTTAAATACATCTTGGTCACAATTGTTTGAAAAACTTATGTAAGGCATCAAAATGTCATGTGAAATATCGACCAATAAATCATTTTCAAATCTCAAAATAAGAATTCATAAGCCATCTTTGAGAAGTTCACAGTATAGAACAGTAAAGAGGGTTTAGCAAAAATAAAAGTCACATAAATTACCACTTTTGTTCCTACCGCTCTGCAGGTCTTGCTACATGGTGTTTCCCTCCCTGCAATTGGCCCTGGCTCTAAGCTGTGTGATGGGACTGGTCATGTTTGCACGTTACTGTGGAGAGGATCACTCTGTCAAGCTGGGCACCACTTCAAGGGATGCGGTGAGTTTCAATGCGTCATTTCTCTGTTTTAGTGTCGTTATCTACTGAAAATCACCTGCTTCATGTTCTTCCTTGATCCCTAGTGATTAGTGTGAGCCACATAGACTAAACAACAAATTGCAGCAGCATGAGTATTTGCATATTTTGTAGTACGTCCTTTTAGCACATTGGACTCATTATGTACAGTAAATGTGCTGTCTGTGCTGTCATCAGGACGTCGTATTGCCAGATTTGTATTTTGTATCTTGTGTCCACTACATTTTTGCAAACCAACTGGTTTCAGGACATTTTCTTTACAATGTGTTTTCTACAGATGGTGATATACTTTGTGATGGATATGCTGCAAGGTCTGCCTGGACTGCCTGGACTGTTTGTTGCATGTTTGTTCAGTGCAGCTCTCAGGTACTCATCTGTCTATTTTTTTGTTTTTGTTTTTAATTCAAACTAGCATTAACCCTGTTGGTGTCTACAAGTGAAGTTTACACATGAACCAATTGGTGTATATCAGTCAATTTATCAATAGCTTTGACCCATCTGAGTAAAATCAGTGATTGCACTTGGGGGAACACCTTCTTCATGATGTTATGGCCATCAAAGCAAGATATAAGCATCAGGAAAGAGGCTTTAAAAAGTTCACTAACACAGGCAACTATTTCGTAATTATGACGCCTTATTTTATTGGTTATCAGGCTGTTCTGAGCCCATGGTTTCTGTGAGTTATATTGAAAACCTCACTTGTATTAGACTGCATACGTTTTAGCTAGGTGTACCTAATAAACTGGCAACTAAGTGTATAATCCATATTCACATCAAATGTTTCATCCTTTTTCAAAAAGTCCTCGTTATCCTGAAGTTTATATTGAAATTTGCCTGCTCCCTTCCTGCACACTTGTCACTCTGGGTGTGCAAAAGCCTTTTTAATAAAGTTACATTAAAATAAAATGTATAATGTTTTGCCTATTTTTAACACACACTCAAATCCTGTGATGATTTCGTAGTTCGATAGTTAATTAACATTTGATTGTTACTTTGGGTGTTTTAAAGATGGCAGTAATTGTATATGTATATTTTTGTGCAGCACCATCTCTTCTGCTTTTAACTCTCTGGCCACTGTGACAATGGAGGACCTCATCAAACCACATTTCCCCACCATGACGGAGTCAAGAGCAACACTGCTGTCCAAAGCCTTAGGTTAGCTCTCTGAAGTTTTAAATTCAGCAGTGCATTATACAACGCTCAATAATAATGACACATTTGCCTTAAAGTTTCAACTTGTGTCTCCTCAAAGCTACGTTATATGGGCTGCTGTGTATGGCCATGGCCTATCTCACTCACCTAATGGGTGATTCAGTCCTACAGGTAAGCTCTAAGGTTGTGGGACTAACTCATAACCTACATTTCATTCTAAATCTGCACTGACTGTCATTATGTTTGAACTTCAGCTGGCTTTGAAAATCTTCGGGATGGTTGGCGGTCCTATTCTTGGTCTGTTTTGTCTCGGGATGTTCTTTCCGTGGGCTAACTCCACTGTAAGTTGAACCTCATCAGTAAGATCTGTTGACCATGTTGTCATGAGGCAATGTACAATCTAACATCTTGCTATATTAACTGCTGTGCTTATTTTGGTCAGAATAATCATGACATGGATTAAAACGGTTTAATCATAAAATGGACTTAAATACCCCAAAATACTTAATCACATATTTAAATTAGTCACTATCAACATTTCTACATTTACATTTATTCATTTAGCTGGCGCTTTTATCCAAAGCAGAACTTACAATTGCTATACATGTCAGAGTTTGCACGCCTCTGGAGCAACTAGGTGTTAAGTGCCCTGCTCAGAGACACATTGGTGTCTCACAATGGATTTGAATCCTGGGTCTCTCACACCAAAGGCATGTGTCTTATCCATCACCACCCCGGTTTTTAAATAGCAAACATTTTAATATGTATGTTTAATATGTGTTTTGGCCAATACTCTTGACAGCCTTGGTTTCCAACATTTTGGACTGTGACATCTTAAACTGAAGTAATGTCCAGTTGTGGCCCCTCATCACAGGTTATGGACTATGGCTGTGAAATTCCTGTCCTGTCCTGTCTTCTCCAGTCTTTAAAATTGCATGTGTGAACCTGGTGTGAACGAGGGATTAATCCTCCAAAATCCTTCCATTTTGGTCCTTGTGTGGGATCCTCAACCTGACATTGGAAACAACTCCGTACAGTTTTTTTAATAAATCAATGTAAGCCTGACCTGTTTTATATGAAGAATCATTCCTAATTTAAGCAAGGGGAGGAACATGTGGTTAAAGAAAACTAGCTACCAGGTGCCATTTCTGCAGCCTCTGCTCTAGAGCAAGATATAGGTCATAAAACCATTAGAATGACCATGTAAACCTTTATTTATTACCTGTGTCAGTGTTAAGTTTTTTGTTTTCCTGTTGTTTCCAGGGAGCATTGGCTGGTCTGGGGACGGGTCTGGCTTCGGCGTTCTGGGTCGGCATTGGGAGCATCGTCACTCATAGCTCCAGCGCAAGACCACTGCCACCCAACTGCAGAGCCATCGTGTTGTCAGACAACACGACTGCTGCCATTCAGACTGCACTCAGCAACATCACTCTGAGGTACACAGACAGCACAGTGTGTGTTTGTTTTTACTGTGGTCATTTCACAGGTTAATCGTTTCTCTTTGTTCTTTAGCCGACCGTCTGGTCTGAAGAGATTTTATTCATTGTCCTACATGTGGTACAGTGCGTTCACCTGCTTCACAGTCATTCTAACAGGCCTGATCATCAGCTTTCTCACAGGTAGGCGAGTTCTTACACGTACACATGCTCCCTATAACCCAGAAATTTTATTTACAAGAACAAAACTTTTTTTCTATATAGGCCCTATGAAAGAAGAAGATGTGACACCAGGAACAGTCTATCCCTTATTTGGGAAACTGCTTTGTTTTCTGCCTGAACACCTCAAAAAGAAGCTCTGCTGTGTGACTCCTCTGGGACAGACTGTAAGTTCAATGGTGACGTTTAATTACAGGATCAGCAACACATTTGAAACCCTCTCAGATATAATGATTCCTTCTCAAAATTAACATATAAATCATAAAAGTAGTAATGTTGATAACTTTTCCTCATCATTTTGGCATAAAATTCAAAAGTTGCTAGCAGTCGTTCACTATTCCACAACAGCCCTTTGAAATGTAAAACATGAGACTAGCTGGCAACCTACTGTAATTTAAATCCTGACTATGAGCTTAGTTTTGAGCTGAGAGTCTGTAGTGGTCTCCACAAAAAGGTCAGAGATTTTGAACCAAACATGTTTGATTGTTATTAGTAGAAACAGGACATAATCTTATAGTTTGAGGTAGTTAATGACAGAACACTACAGCTTTGCTTTGTCAGTGGTTAAATGTTTGAAGTGATGGCTTCTCACAGCGAGTTAGGATTTCAAAGGTTTTAGACATGATAGTGGTGTGGCAATCCTGGTCAGTTGGTCCACAACTTTGCTCGAAACTGAAATATTTAAAAAATGAATGCATGAATTGCTGTGGCATTTTTTACCGACATTAATGGTCCCCAGATCATGTTTGCCAATGACATTGCTCCCCAAACATTTCTTCTTGCACCACCATGAGGTTGACAAATTTTTGGTAGGTTTTGGTTTTCCCATTAGCCTCAGCTGTACTTATACCTGCTAAACATCAGCATTTTTGCGTTCCCATTGTGAGCATGGTAGCATGCTGATGTTATTATTTAGCTCTAAGCACCACTCTGACAAAGTACAGGCTCACAGAGCTGTTAGCATCCTGTATTAGCATCTTACAGCCTGTTGTAGGTATCGCCTGTTTCTTCTGTATTTAAGATCACACTGTAATGTTCCGGTTAAAAGAAGTTGATGACATCAGTTACTTAATCTTCTATATTTTCCTTTTTATTATTAATTATTTCTTTAATTATTCTTATAGCTCTCAGCACAACAAAGGCAGCCTCCACAACATAAAGAAAGCAATGGGTTGGCCTTCCCACAGGAGGATGGACCATCCCAGGAAGAGATTTTCCTTGAGGCTCACAGACCTTTTATGGAGTGTGAAACAACTGTGTGATCTAACAGTTTCATGTCTGACTGGAAAACGGTTAAGAAGTATTTTCACAAATAATTTGGACGAGTTTAATTTTTATTTTGTTGCCCTTGCTTTGCGATGAAATACATAATTTTTTTGCACTGTAAAAATGCTGCAGCAAGGTCAGAGCTAAACAATGTTCAGTCAGCACGTATTTCTTTTAAATCTACTGATGTCTTCATGTCTTCAAACAAAAGGCTTACGTGTAGCTGAGCCTGTTACAGTTTAACAGATATGTTAAAAATCTGCACTATCCTGTTTTATGAGAATTATTGGATGTCCTGTAAACTTTAAACAGCTATAAATGTTTATGTTTATGCATATACATTTATATACTTTAATATGTAAATGTATGTAAAAAGGTACACTTGACTTTTGTTTAGCACTGCAGTTATGAATGGTCCTGTGTCATGCGCTGGTGATATGCTAGTACCTCACTTTTTAAGAATGTATGAGTGAATTTTGACTGTATTGCAGCCGAAACAGAAAAAGATTTTTCTAAAAAGGATTAAAGATTTTGTAGTTATCCTTTTGCATTGTCTTCCTATTTAAATTTTCCGCCCCTGAAAATGAATTTCAATCAGAGAAACAGATTTCTGATGAACATGATACTAGTCACGTTTGGTGTTACTCTCCCTGTGAAACTTATAACAAAGCCTGTTATACAAACGCAGGGAGCGTATCATGAAATATGCTATTGAGTTGCAGGAAGTGAAGGCAGTGGTGAAAAGTTACTAGTAAGTACATTTCGCTTAAGCATTGTACTTAAGTACATATTAAGTATTTGTACTTTAATTTTATGCTAGTTTACACTTGTGCTCCACTTTAAGATGGAAATATTGTTCTTTTTACTCCACTCCACATACACTGGCATCTAAAGAAACTAGTTCATTTTCAAATTAAGATTTTAAAAATCTTCATATAAAATACAACACATTGTCTACAGTTAATTAAACCACTGATCAGTATATAAATAGGTTACATAAACAGTACAACTTCATTATTTCAGTCTTTATTTTTATCTATTTAACCAGGAACCTCTTGGGATATATTAGTGTAGAGTAGTAAACACAGTCACATAAATGAATGCAAGACATTTACATATAAAAACACAGCGTGTCATTAGACATTTTATTTGATTACTTGTTGTACAGTCAGTTTTCCAAAAGATGTGATCAGTAAGGAACCTTCTTATTTTGATATGGCTTCATAAAATGCAGTGTTTATATTTTTCTACTTTTACCTTCTGCATAATGACTTACTATATCTGTTCCTCATAAATTCCTCATTTGACTAAACATGTATTTTAAACAAATGGTCTTGTGAGTTCAGAGTTTTGCACACCAGTACAAATATCCAGATGGGATCTGAAAAAGGAAGAGTCCTTCTCACAAAGCTTCTCCATTCTCTACTTACATAGAAGTCCTAAACACATAGGTTGTATAACAATTAGCTGGTGAATAACCCAGAGAAGGCTATAAAAGGCTGTACTCATAAAATATCCTGCATGACATATAAAGAGAACATAAACCCTCTTTCTGGATTTACTGATATTTCTGCAGATGGATTTGCAAAATACAGGAAACATGCAGAACCCAAACCTTCATCCTTATTTCTGCAGAACCTTATAGCCTATCTTGTTTTGTGTTTGAATGAGGAGAAATGTTGGCTGCCCAAGAGTTTACAGTGATGCTAGCAGCTCAGTGAGGCTCTACTTTGAGGAACGTCAGCATGCCAACATTCTCACAATGACAATGCTAACATGCTGATGTTTAGCAGGTATAATGTTGAAGATGGTCATCTAAGTTTAGCGTCTTAGCATGCTAATATTGGGTATGTAGCACTAAACACAAAGTACATTGGAGGGTGAAAGAAAATCACAGACTAACAGATGTTAACATCTGTTAGTCTGTGATCATACCATCATACCACCATCTGTTAATCATACCATGTGAAAGACCTTGTCTTTATAGCCAGAAAAGCCACCCCATACATATTTCTATTATGTAAACACCATGTAGTTTGTTTTTATTTTGAAAGTCAAATTATATGCATATAACAGCCATTTTTGTTTTGCATACCTGCAGTTACCTCGACCAGCTGCTGATCATATACTGTTGTCAAGTGGAAACTGAATTTGGTCCGGTGTTTTTCATTTCCTTGATAGCTGCTGCAAAAGCAGCTCCATTAGTGTGCTGCTGTCATTTGTGGGCACAGACAAGTCCTTTTAACATTGTGAGACGCTGCTGTGATGATTCACTGATGCAAACCGAGGAAAACAGGTTAGATGATCTTTTTATATTAATTATCTTTCATTGAAATATCAATGCATGTATTTTGTGCCATACAAGCTGTTCCTTTTTTGTTTATTTCATCTCAGGAATTCAACTTGTTTAACTAAATTATGAAATTGAAAAAAATGTAGTAACCAATATATAGCATTTATAGACAGTGTATTAACATATAATTTATAAAACAAACTATAATGTAAATTAAATTAAATTTTATTTATATAGCACCAATTCACAAAAACAGAAGTAGTTGAAAACAGATACACATTTATTAATGCATTTGTCAATAACTGTAACTCCTCTGGGCACCAATAAGATATGTACAACAGTTATCAATACACAGCAAAAAGTCATATAAACCATACCTTATAGGAAAAGTTATAATTGATGATAAAATTAATAAACACTTAAATTGTACTAATGTCTGCTTACAATGGCATTATAGTATGTTATAAACAAAAATTGTTTTTTATACTGCCTATAAATGATAAATAGGAGGACATAAAGAAAACTATTACCAAACAGACAATCCCTTGTCTGATTTTAATTTATTCAAGTAACATTTTGTGCATTAAAACTGCAGAATAATCAGTACAAAAATCAGAGATATAATAAGTTCAGCTGTGACTCAGGAGATAGAGCAGGTTGGCCGTTAATCGGAAGGTTGGCGGTTCAATCCCAGGCTCCCCCTGGTTGCATGTTGAAGTGTCCTTGGGTAAGATGCTGAACCCTGAATTGCTGGCTGTGAATGTTAGTTTCTGTTTGAGCACTCTGGTGAATGCAGATGTAGTGTAAAAGCGCTTTGAGTGGTCGAAAAGGCTATACAAACATAATCAATGTCAAAACAACATTCATTTGAAGATACCTATTAGATCTATCTAACTCAGACCTTTGAAGCGTCAACTTTTTGTACATTTTGGGCACATTTTTTGTTATTTTAAATTGAATAACATTGTATAAAGGAATCACTCCTCTGTCTTAAGGTTTTTTTCATTTTTTCACCATGAGCAGGTTTTTGGGAGAGTTTATCCTTGTCTGAATCAAGGGTATTAGGATAGAGTTTTGTGTGCTGTACAGATTGTAAAGCCCTTTAAGGCAAATTTGTTTTGTAATTTTGGGCTATAAACATCAAATGTGTCCCTCTGTAGGAATTGTTTTCTTTATCTTTAATACTGTACCCAACTATGGTGACTTTAGGGAGAAAGTTTTGCTCGTTTGCTATTTGCCTTGTAAGCCCAAGAAAATGTGATACAAGATACAATTTAAACTTTGAAGGCCACAATTTGATCTGCTCCCTTTGTCTGCATAAAGTTGACAGTTCTATTTATAAACCCAGTTGGCCAACCTCATCCTCTTGCTGGTGTGCTTGATGGCACATGACAGCTGTAACTGTCATCTTGGAAAATGGCGAAATCACGTGGGGCACTAAATTTGACTGTTGGCCTGCCAGATCTGCTGGGAGCCTTACTGATTGCTGTGCGAAAGCTCACAATTTTAATAACTTTGTTCACTGATTTGGGTGAAACTGGAAAATATTTTATGGAGTTTCTAGATGGACAGGTAACGAGTGCACACCTAGCAGCCCTGTTAACTTGACTCTGCCCGGACTGGGAGCTCGAGAGGGTTCGAGTTACGTGGGAACCATAAGGAGGGTCTGAGCTCCCATGGAATCAGTAAAATCATGCATCTGTGGGGGTCACTAATACATTTACCAATTATTTTGAATCACAAATAATGTATTTTTCATTGTAATTAGCATTATTTACATTAACAACATCAACAGGCTAAAATAAACATGTTTTCCAAATGAACTATGCTGCGCACGTCATGACTGCACTGCGCCTTCAGCCATTACGGAGCACAGTAGCCTACAATATTGACCTAATGATAATGCAGGTTGAGACCCTGCAACCCTTGAACATGTACTCAGTTGGAAGAAGCCACTACCTGCAAACATCATCTTATAATGAATAGAAAGTCATAGTTTTAGACTAGGTGAGTTACAATGCCGTTAAAAAAAAGGCCACCACTGCTAACAGGCTAGCCTGGCATGCATTAAAAAACAAAAAACAGGAAACCAAGACACTTTTACTCTCAGAGAAAAAGGCTTGGAGTGCATTTGGCGGATGATTGGATCAATGGGACTGTAAGTCAGGCTATTAAAACTTAAACTTTGTTGCAATATCACAGACATGAGACATGAGAGACAAAGTGTTGGACTGTGTAATGAACAAAGAAGTCTCTGTCTCTCCAGGCTCATTATTTTTTTATTTTGTTTATTTATCTCCACCCTTTAACATTAGTGGTATTAGAGAACCCCACAAAACTCAGATTATAACTTGAACTCCGGAGCTCAAGCACCGGAAGAGTGTTGATGTTTACGTGATTAGCACAGAAATTTCGACCACCAGGAGAATGAGGTTTTTAGGCCTGGGCTCCCAGTCCCAGTCCGGGTAATGTCAGCTAGCTAACAGGACCTCTAGCAGCACGGCTAACAGCAACTACCGCAGACAAACCGAACAACCTCCAAAAATGTGTTGTCCTGAGCAGAGTAGTCTCACAGAGCCAGGCCTACAGTATCTCCACACTCTTAGTGCTGTGCCAGTGCTGTAGAAAGTGCTATGAGCAGATCAGTTGAAGAGACAGACTGCCTAGCTGATGTCAGCTAGGCACAAAAGTAAAAAGAAGAAGAAGCTGGAAACCAAGTATTTAGAGCAGTCAGAGGTTTTTGCTCAAGAGAGACATACATATATTTACCTCATTATTTTAAACTTTGGCTATGTTTAATATAAACAGCCCACGTTAACATTGCAACATTACAGATATAACAGAACATACAGGAAAGCATAACTGTTCCAAAATATATATATGCCTACGTTGTATCATCAGTCAGTGCTCAGACAGAGGCCAAATAAATGACTTCCTATGTATTTGATTATTTGCAGAAACAGGATGTGGACCTTTATATTGCTTTACATCCTAGGACAAAACATCTGTCAGGTACATCAATATCATAAGATTGCACATTAAATATAAAAATTCTAAATAGCAACATTTAACTGCATTAAATTAATTGATTTTCTTTGGACTTTTACAGGCTACTGAAGGTAAAATGATTTTGAGTTTCAAAATGAGCAATTTTTCTGGCGTAACATTGTTCTTAAACTTATTTAGTGTATGTGATATTTTGTCTGTTTTGCATTTTTCAGAATATTCAACACAAATGTATTATGTTAAACTGACAATTGATGAAAATGCAATCGACAACATAACTCAACTGATAGAGAAACCTTTTGTGTATGACACCAACCTGCAAGTTAACAACCTAACTATAACAACAAGTAAATGTTTTTCTATTATTTCAAATACTGCTTATGTTCTTAATAAATTTCAATGAGGAATAACAAATTGATGCCTGAGCAAAACTATTATATCTTTTTTCTAATCAGCCTGTCAGAATGTCTCAAACAGCACAGAGTGTACCTGCAAGCCAGGCTACAGATGGAGTGACAGCGTTTGTAAATCTTATCAGACATGTTGTCGCGAAACCTGCACCTTCCCTCAAAACTTGTCTCACATGTGTATTTTAAACACTTCAGGTATTTGGTATTATTTACTGTGTTTGCATGTGCAAATGTGTGTGTATTTGTGCAAATCAAGCATCCCAAATTGTTCCCAAACTTTTTTCTTCACAGTTGCTGTCAACGGATCCCTTATTTTGAAAGGAAATACTTATGCCAATTGTCTGACAGATAAAAGCACTATAGAGTTTCAGACTTGTAATGACAATTTGACAACTCAGGTAAAAACAAATATTTTTCAAGAAACAGCACATTTAGCAATAACCTTTATCAGATCAGGAGGAATGTAATTAATGTATTGTCATGTGCCAGTATAAATGAAAAAACTATTGTGAATGATTTTTTGCCTTTCAGTTAAAAAGTGTTTACAGCACTTTGACAGGATTTGACACCTTAACAATTTTACAATACAGGTATTTGTTTTGTTTCCCAAATCAAATAATTTTGATTTTTTTTCCCCCTGTTTACAATATGTGACTGAAATCTGTATTTTTTTTCTTCACTGAAGTGTTGGAAGTGTCATTGCAACTTTTCAAATGATCATTGCTTATGGAGTCAATCCAAATGATCTGATTATCAAATCAAGCACACTCCTGAACAGCAGTCTGTCAGCATCACTTGATTTGGTGACTACAGGTAATTTTATCCAGTGGAAGGTGGGACCTAATTTTAAAATCTGGATTGACTGATGGTTCGCCTTGTCTATTGTTTAATTAAACATTATTAATTTAAATCAGATTATGAGTCCTAATGGTGATCTCCTGACTTATCATTTAGGCCCACTTATCTACTGAAATATCTCCACATGTACTAAATGTATTGGAACAAAATGTGGGACAAACATTCATATTTCCCACGGGATGAACTGAAATATCTTTGTTGATTCCCTGATTTAAAACCAGATTAATACCAGCACCAGCAGGTTCGCATTATTTTTGTACGTACAGCCTCACAGACCTACTGGCATTCCTCCAGACTCTTAGTCAAAGTTACACTGATCAATATCTTTGTATAACAATGGATCAAATGTTTAACGTAAAATGTATATTGCTCTTGCCGAACCCACAGAACAGCTGTTCTCAGCAAAAAAAACTTTGATAAATCCACTGTACACAGCAGACAGACAAAGTTACAGACTATCTGGTGAATCTTTAGCATTGAGAAGCTACAGAGCCAGATGATTTCCTCAGGAGGCTAAAATAGAGTTAAAAGAGAGTAAATATTGAACTAATATTCATCAGGTGGGCAGACGTGTCTTCATTAATGCTAATATTGTCATTTAATGCAGAGTTAAGTTTGAATGAAAGTTGAGATCCTTTTAACTAAATTATGACTCCATCATTAAGGAGCAGCTTATTGACTGATACTTCTTTTTCACCAGTAGTTGTTCCTTAAAATGTCCCTGAAATTCATTTAGTGTCAAAAAGTTGAAGGATATAACAAAGTTAATAGTTTTGTTATGGCTTAAGTGAAGTTATAGTATAGTAGACTCTAAACCTCAAAAAGTATTCACTCACAGACCGACACAACCAATACTTTTTATATGTAGCTTATCCATGGTTTCTAAACTAATTCAACTCTCATTTTTTTGCAGGTGTTGTCACTTTAAGCATGCCAAATAACCCTGTGTATTACGACTCAAATCACAGCCTCACATGCACATTACAGAAGGACCTGGACATTATACCAACATGGCAGCTTAATACAACAAACAACACATTTCAAATAACTAATGGCACAGGGGCAGTGGTGACATGGACAACAAGGTCAACTAACATTGAACTTAAACGGATAACAGAACTCTGGGCAGGTATATTTGTTTCAGCCACTCTATTAATATTTTACATATTTAGCCTGCCAGCTGGCTTACTGTGGGTGTGTCAATGTGTAATCAGAGGTGGGAAGACATTAAGCCCATTTACTTAAGTACTGTACTCAAGTATGCCTACAATTTTGAGGTACTTGTACTTTAGTTGAGCATTTACCATTTATGTTACTTTACACTTCAACTCCATTACATTTGTCTGACAGCTTTATTTACATTTTTACACCTGCATATGTGAAAAAATATATTTAAAGGCTTTGTGGCTCCAGGGGGAGCTGAGTGAAATCTCATAATTGCCTCAGGTGATGCCACTTGAGTCAGTGTCGGTTTGGGGTGAAGACTACAAGCTTGAAAAAATTTAAAAAATGGATAAAATGGTGTTCCTCATCTCTGCATGAGGCTAGCGGTTTGAAGCTACATTAGCTGCTTCTAGCACTTAATCGCCAACTGAACTGTCTGCAACTGAGCTGCACTGGGAGTTTGACAATCTTATAGGAGTGCAGTGCCAAACCAGCGGACTACTTGTTCAGTTATTCTAGGTTTAAATTACTGGAGAAACATTGGCTAGCTAAGTGAGGTGGTGGGACTGGTTTGTGTAAAATACTTTGGTTTTCACTGTGATTGTCTATTTTTCTCACAAAGAAAAACACAATCACAATAATTTGAAAAATGCTATTTCACCACTGGAGGAAGTATTTGCATCTTTTACTTAAGTAAAGGTAGCAATGCTACAGTGTAAAAAATATACCTTTTTTTTCAGTCAAAGTCAAAGTCGTGCATTCAAAAATATACCAAAAGTTAAACTCCTCATTATGCAGAATTTCAGACTCATATTAGGCTACTGGATTATAATTAGTGATGCATTAACTACTAACTAAAGCTGTCAAAAAATGTAGTGGCATAAGAAACTACAAAAGAAGAAGTGAAAAGTAGCATAAAATGCAAACACTCAAGTACTTCAAAATTTAATCTAAGCATAGTACTTGATTAAATGTCCTTAGTTACTTTCCACCACTGATAATCACATAAACGTTCTACACATAATGGATTTAACGCCCTGTAATCCTTTTTTTCCCTTAGGAATGTACACATGTGACTATCTTCAACAATTAAATTCAACCAGTATACGTCACCAAGCCAGCGCATTAATGGACGTATGCCTCCTGCCAAAAATTAACATCTTCCTGGATCCACAATTTCCACGCTGCAAATCTGATTCAGATATACTGACCGTGACTACAACGTGTCAGATAGAGAGTAGCACTGAAAATTATAATGTGACATGGAACACTGAAGAAATCTTATCACAATTGCTACCAAAAAATGGTATTTAAATTTTCTTGTGTTCATGTTCTTTGCCCATTCATTTAAATGAAACCCTGTGCAAACTTGTTATGAAAATACATGACATGGTTATGTAATCTTTGCAGGTTCCTCAGGTGTTTATACAGTTCAAACATATGTTAAGTGTGGCGACCGTAACGCTATGCCAAAAGTAAGATGCAATTTTGTGAACAGGTGCAATCAACAAAGAACTGCTTCGATTAATATCAATATCATACAAGGTATGTTTTAGTATTAGTTAAAATATTGTCAGAAAATAGTGGCTTCGTCCGACATCACACCCATATTTTGTTGCAATTTATTTAATTTTTGCCATTTTATTTCAGTGTGCAAATTCTCTGTTTACATTTTTATGTATTGTATATTGAAAGGAAAAGATATAATCCATAGCATGTACATTACTTTTAGCTGAAAATCTTGCACAATTCTTGTGCAATGATGAATCATGCGTGTCTGAAATCTCAATTTACTGCCCACTCTTGGGGAAAGAAATTATAGAAGACAGGGGTTCCCTGGGTCATCATGAATCTTCAAAGTAAAACAATGTCTACAGGCAACCATATGTCAAATATCTGAGCAGTGGAACCAAAAAAGAGATCTGGGAGTCTGTCAAATATTCTAAAATAAATATATTATAACAATATAATATAGCAATATAAAATATTTTAGCCAGTTGAACTTTTGATCAGTTTTTCTTAAAAGTGGACATTTTGAGATAAGAAGGGAATGTCTCTGAGGTCACCGAAGAAGGCCATGGGATAGGGCCAAAAGTCCTGAAGGTACGATGAGATAAAATAATATTAGTCTTGATTTTTTTCATTGAAATTAGCAGCTTTTAAAATAGCGTATTTAAATAAGCAATAAAAAGGATATCATAAAATGAAGCATTAAGTACATTAAAACACTTGTATGTATGTTATATAATATACGTGCAGTATCTGTAGTAAACACACTATAGTGACAATGTAATAGAGATAATAATTTTCATTATACAGCACAAGGCTGCAAAACTAAATAAAATCTGTAGTTCCTTCATGCTACACACACTACACACGTACATAATTAATGTAAAATATTGTAACATATAAAAATAAAACAATTTATACAGTTATATACATACACGTATACACCAAGAACATTCTGCAGTGCATTTTTTTAATTTGCGTCTGGGGTGAATGTAAACAGCAGCAACCAGATGATAACATGGTTTCATCTTATAATGTTTAATATGGTTTCATCCTGATATTAGCAGTAAATAATACTGCTTTCCCAAAGTAAATAATACTACTACCACTCCCGTAGCAAACTGTAAGTAAATTTGATTCAGAATATTTTTTCACATGTGCTGAATTAACTGACCCTGTGACCCGTTTGGGGTGACCTGACCCCCAGGTTGGGAACCACTGGTTTAGGGAATAATTAATGAGTAAACGAGGGTGTGATTTCGGACACAGTGAATATTTATGAATATTTTATGCCTCAGTAAACTTCTTGTTTTCCTGAATTTAACTTTGTACAGGTATTAGTTGTTTTAATTAAATGATAAATCAAGAACTTTTCTTCTTCAAAACAGAAAATGATCCATTCTGTAAAGCTGAACTTGACTGGCAAGACACCAAAGCTGGATTCTCTGCAGTGTTACAATGCAAGGGCTCGGCTGGACTGAGAACAAGGAACTGCACCACTGAGTAGGGCTGCATCTAATGACATCTAATGACTAATAATCGTTTGGTCTATATGTTGTTCAAAAATAGCAAGAGTCCAGTTTAGAGTTTAGTTTTTTACCTCATCCAAATCAAGGGTCTAAGGACAGAAGGTCTTGTATGCTCTACAGGCTGAAAAGTCCCCCGAGGCAAATTTGTCTTTTGTGATATTGGGCTGTCTATAAAATTGACTTTACTTGACAATTAATTGATGAATTAATTTTTTTGTTAATTGGCTAATTGTTTCAGGAGTAAATGGGAAAAGGAGGTTTCAGCATGTGTCAACCAGATCTTGAACAATGTGCTGCAAAGTTCAATTGTAAGTCTTAATTTTCATAACTGAAACTTATACAATGATATCTCCATCATTTGACAGAAAAGACACTGATACAAAACCAACTCATATTAGCAAAATATAAAGCAACACATTAAAGTAGCTATTCAAAAGCTTTTTGGGCAGATAGAAATTGATATTTTTTCAAAAGGGATTGTCTAGCTTTTATGCATTAGTCAGCCTCAGCTTTTTGGAGATGAAATCCTTAGCTGACGGTTTACATTTAATCATCACCAATAAATCATTACTGTTGTTACAGATTGTTGACATTGGACTTGGCACAAAAGATGACAACGCTGCAAATGTACTTGCCCTCTTTAGCAATGTTACAAATAACACACAGAGTATCAACACTTTCAGCAATATGAATGCATCTGTTCATGTACTCTTAACTTTGAGTCAAAAACAACTAAATCCAAATGAATCTGCATTTAAGGTAAGTATTACTGAATCTTTGATTATCTTTGTTGAATGTTTTAATGGGTTTCAATAGATATGTTATTGCTCTTGACCGAGGCACTGGCTAAAAACTGGAGTTGGCCCCTGGGCGCTGGAGGTTGGCCCACATACTCCTAATAGGATGGGTTAAAGGCAAAGATTGGATTTCACTAGAAGTTGTATTGTGTATGATTGTGTATGTGACAATAAACTCCGTGTTCTTCTTTTGAAAAGGGAATTAGCCTACTTAAATGTGTCACATAAATTTATAATCCTTAAGATTTTTAATGAAATCAAACCTCATTTTTGATACTATTTATGGGCAGTACTTTTTCTGAAACAGCCATGAAATGAATCTACATTCAGTAATGCCTAGTTTTCATTGTTAGTGGTGTCCACCATTCCTGTGATGGATACAAATTGCCTGAAATGAGGCATGTACAGTGGGTACGGAAAGTATTCAGACCCCTTTAAATTTTTCACTCTTTGTTTCATTGCAGCCATTTTCCAAAAATCAAAAAAGTTCATTTTATTTCTCAGTAATGTACACTCAGCACCCCATCTTGACAGAAAAAAACAGAAATGTAGAAATTTTTGCAAATTTATTAAAAAAGAAAAACTGAAATATCACATGGTCATAAGTATTCAGACCCTTTGCTCAGTATTTAGTAGAAGCACCCTTTTGATCTAATACAGCCATGAGTCATTTTGGGAAAGATGCAACAAGTTTTTCACATCTGGATTTGGGTATCCTCTGCCATTCCTCCTTGCAGATCCTCTCCAGTTCTGTCAGGTTGGATGGTAAACGTTGGTGGACAGCCATTTTCAGGTCTCTCCAGAGATGCTCAATTGGGTTTAAGTCAGGGCTCTGGCTGGGCCATTCAAGAACAGCCACGGAGTTGTTGTGAAGCCACTCCTTCGTTATTTTAGCGGTGTGCTTAGGGTCATTGTCTTGTTGGAAGGTAAACCTTCGGCCCAGTCTGAGGTCCAGAGCACTCTGGAAAAGGTTTTCGTCCAGGATATCCCTGTACTTGGCCGCATTCATCTTTCCCTCGATTGCAACCAGTCGTCCTGTCCCTGCAGCTGAAAAACACCCCCACAGCATGATGCTGCCACCACCATGCTTCACTGTTGAGACTGTATTGGACAGGTGATGAGCAGTGCCTGGTGTTCTCCACACATACCGCTTAGAATTAAGGCCAAAAAGTTCTATCTTGGTCTCATCAGACCAGAGGATCTTATTTATCACCATCTTGGAGTCCTTCAGGTGTTTTTTAGCAAACTCCATGCGGGCTTTCATGTGTCTTGCACTGAGGAGAGGCTTCCGTCGGGCCACTCTGCCATAAAGCCCCGACTGGTGGATTGCTGCAGTGATGGTTGACTTACTACAACTTTCTCCCATCTCCCGACTGCATCTCTGGAGCTCAGCCACAGTGACCTTTGGGTTCTTCTTTACCTCTCTCACCAAGGCTCTTCTCCCCCGATAGCTCAGTTTGGCCGGACGGCCAGCTCTAGGAAGGGTTCTGGTCGTCCCAAACGTCTTCCATTTGAGGATTATGGAGGCCACTGTGCTCTTAGGAACCTTAAGTGCAGCAGAAATTTTTTTGTAACCTTGGCCAGATCTGTGCCTTGCCACAATTCTGTCTCTGAGCTCTTCAGGCAGTTCCTTTGACCTCATGATTCTTATTTGCTCTGACGTGCACTGTGAGCTGTAAGGTCTTATATAGACAGGTGTGTGGCTTTCCTAATCAAGTCCAATCAGTATAATCAAACACAGCTGGACTCAAATGAAGGTGTAGAACCATCTCAAGGATGATCAGAAGAAATAGACAGCACCTGAGTTAAATATGAGTGTCACGGCAAAGGGTCTGAATACTTATGACCATGTGATATTTCAGTTTCTCTTTTTTAATAAATTTGCAAAAATTTCTACATTTCTGTTTTTTTCTGTCAAGATGGGGTGCTGAGTGTACATTACTGAGAAATAAAATGAACTTTTTTGATTTTTGGAAAATGGCTGCAATGAAACAAAGAGTGAAAAATTGAAAGGGGTCTGAATACTTTCCGTACCCACTGTATATAATCCAGCATAATTTTATATCCATGATAACGTCTCTGTTTACTGCTTTACACCATTAAGTTATTACTAATGCAAACCAAACCTTTCCTACTGCTGCTGTTGCTTCTGCTTCAAAAGCATTCAACTGGTGAATAACATTGTAGATTCTATTATGCACAAGCCACAGGACATTCAATTTCTCACTGCGCTAACCACAATCGTTAAAAAATGTGTCATGTGCGGTCATTTTTCAGTTGTAAGTAATGCAGGGCCTAATGGAACAATAAAGATTAGCTGAAGTGACGGGCTGCACACCTTTAAAGAAAGAGAAATTAAAAATCCTGTGTCCCTGTGTCACTTGTTAATCTTTCTCTTGTTACTTGCAAAAAATCCGTCAAAAAAAGTACAATTATTTTTAGATTAAAGTTTGTCTATTTACTCTTCCTGTAAAACATACAGATATTTTTGACTCATACTGATCTCAGGGCGGTTACATAAATGAATCCAATCAAATGTGATTTGGGGCCACCGACACTGCCCATTATATAAAACTCTGCTAGATACCATTACCTCATGTGGGTAGCTGGCAGAGCAATATCATAGTAAGAAGTTTGAATTCCAGCTGGCAAAAACTTTATTTACATTTCCAAAGAATGTGATTGAGGTAGCTGGCAGAGCAAGGATTAATTTAAGGATTATAACTTGATGATTCTTTTGTGTCAATATTGAGTGTAAAATATTTTCCATGTATATGTGTAACCCTATAATTATTTTTCATAATTAATACAACCAGGCAAAATAATAACTTTGAGCAGACATGTACTTCAATCAACCTGAAATTAAAACAAGCTGCTTACTTTTCAGGACTTTCTGGTGTCATCCAGCAATTTGCTCGAGAAATCTCTTGGAAATTCATGGACGGGTGACAACAACGAAAATGTGTCATTGGCTGAGAAATATCTGAAATCTGTTGAAGAATTAATTAATGTGTCAAACATAACAAGTGCCCCTAAACAAACAAATATACAGGTAGCCGTACCAAATTGCTCACTGCCTACAAATTGTATCAGCACAGTGTTTAATATCAGCGTCGCTCTTAATAGTCAAGACCGTGGCAATGTAAAAATGTCTGCGTTTAAAGAACTGGAGCAATATTTTCCCACCAACAGTTATTTTGGGGAAACACCAAACAGCCACGTTGTGTCAGCAACTACTGAAAGATCATTGGGTCCAGCTAGGGTTGAAATTACATTCCCTTTGCTCCAACCAAGGCCACGCAACGTTATTATGACGTGTGTCTACTGGAACTTCAACACATCTACGTGGTCATCAGATGGATGTGATTGGACGGGGGCAACTAATGAGGGACAATGCGTTTGTCGGCATTTGTCCTCATTTGCCATTCTAATGTCAAAGAAACCCTTGGAGATCACTGCATTAACTGAGATAACCTACGCTGGACTCTCCGTATCAGTCCTGTCACTCACTATCACCCTTGTGATAGAACTGATCGTCTGGAGCCATGTAGTTAAGACAAATACTTTATATTTACGCCATACTGCCCACGTAAACATTTCTCTCTGTTTGTTAGTTGCAGATTGCTGTTTTTTAGCATCTTCTAATCCACGTGAAATTACAGCAATCTGGTGTGTGACTTTTGTGGTGGTGAAGCATTTCTGTTATCTGTCCATGTTCTTTTGGATGTTGTGTCTGAGCTGCACACTTCTTCACCAAGCAGTTTACCTGTTCCATAATGTGAGCAAAAAAAACTACCTGAGGTTCTCACTGGTCGTGGGCTACGTGTGTCCTTTGCTTATTGTTGTTATCACATTTCTTACCAATAATGGGGATGAAGGCAAATACTACACTTCAGAGACCTGTTGGTTGGTTTATTCTGGACTTCTGAAAGGGTCTATCTATACATTTGTCATACCAGTCGGTATAATTGTTTTCGTCAACGTGTTCTCCATGTTGGTGGTTATCATGAAGCTTTTGGATCATCCTAAGAATACAGAAAAGTCTCATGAAAAAGAAAAAAAGGCTGCCCTAACTGTCATGAGGTCAGTTATTCTTCTGACTCCAATCTTCGGTGTGACTTGGATTTTTGGGTTTGCTGTAATGCTTCTAGACCTCACATCTGGACCCGTTGCCTATGCAGCCAACTATGCCTTTACCCTGCTGAACGCATTCCAGGTAAGGTCAAGATAATCTAACTACACATCTGGACCAGTAAAAGTATTTCTTGCTTAGGAACCTCTGTTGTTTCATTTGCAGGGTTTGTTCATTTTGTTAACCACTTGCCTGGGGGACAAACTGGTAAGGAAGTTTTACTTCGCCAACCTAAATCATAATGTATGTTTCATTTCTGGATCAATTATATTTCAGTAATGTGTTACTTTAGAAGTAGACCAGCACCAGTAGACCTGCTTTTTTTCTTGAATCGCCATTCAGCAGTTATATCAACCAAAATTTAGTAGCTGCAATACTGCCATATTTTCAGCAACCTAAGTAGATGGGGAAAAAACTTTAAAAGGATAACTTAACACCAGGGAGAAAAGGAGTGTTTCACTGAATTCTCTGGTTAAAAGTTTTAAGTCTGTTGCTCCTCTGATTAGGGCTGGACAAAAGCTAAATATATTACGACCGATATTGAACATCTGGATAGTTGTCATTGGTTGTTAAAGCTGTTCTCAGATTAATTTTATGGAATCAGTCAGTTTTCTTATTTAAAACAGTGATGACATTAATTTAGGCCATTAAAAGATTTACAATACTAGTGATAAAGTCCACTTAGTTTCTTGTCCAGCCCTACCTCTGACAGCATCTATTGGTGTCACAGTGTATTGACACACCCTGGAGTACACTTCTACATCAGTGCAGCAAGGTGAGATATTAAGAAGTTCAGCATTTACACTGGTGTTAAGTTGATCTTTAAACTGAGTTCAACATTTTGGGAAATACACTTATTCACTTTCTGGTCCTATAAATATGAAACTACCAGAAGCCAATTAGCTAATCTTAGCATAAAACTGAAGTCTAAAAACAAAAATTTATGGATTTAGGGGGAGCTGCAGGAACTTTAGGAAAACACTGCTCCTTGCCAATTAATAGTCCTGAAAATAGACCGCTTGAAGACTACAGATTGTAGTTTATTATATTTCTATTATATTATTTTGTACAGATTAAACAAACAAGATGTCTTCAATTGTGAGCTTTCCCAAAATGTCTAACTATTCAATAAAGGATACATACATTCCATACATTTTACTATAAGTGCAAAAAGCTCAAGATTTCTTCACATTTTACAGTGAAGACAATTCTTGGGAATTTTTAGGATTTGTGGTCACTTATGGTGCTCTACAACAAAGTCAGGGAGTGTACAACACACTGTCATAAGTTAACTGTGTAATTGGAAATGTTACTAACCACAACCATTTAGTATAGCAGCATTAAAAATGTTTTAATTCCATTTTGACAGACCCGTGAAGCCCTGCTGAAACGTCTAAAATGCAAAGTAAGTGCACTAAACTGAGTATAAGCAAATGTAAAATACCAAAACGGCAACTGATTAATTTTACACAACCATCTCCTCTGTTCGCCAGGATCCAATATCAACTACTGACACCTCCACAAAGTTTGAGTCATCTGTGAGCAAGTGAAAATCATCTCAAATTTGTGCACTCTTAAATCCAAACAAACTACATTTTACACATAAAACCACATTAAATAGCAATCCCACAAGGAGTTTGCGGGCCTTCCTAGGGATTGTTGCGATTGTTTTGCAATGAAACTGTAAAAACTGTAAAGGTAGAGGTGATTTTTTAGACTGTAGAATTATAGTTGAATCATTAAACAGTCCCTCCAGGATTTCGCAGGCCTAACCCTAACCCTAACCATGCTTGCAACTGACAGGGGTGTGACAGCCTGTGTCACAGTGAATTGTCTCCTCAGACGTCCTCCATGTGAAGTGTTTGTCAATAGACGATTTCCTTTTATGTTTGACCACAATACTGTAGGTTTTGCAAAACGGTCTTGGTAAAGAAGATCCAGAGACTGTGTTTCACAGTCCTTTTTTTCCCCCAGCAAATGTGAGACGTTGGTATGACACGTCTGATGTGTTTTGTAAACAAGGAAGTGACAAGCTCACGTTTGACAACGTTTTGCAGGAAACGGCGATGATAGGTCAAATTTGCTAAAAAGTTGCGGTGATTGGTCAAAATCGCAAGTTGCGCTAAATTCATGGGGATTTGTTGAATTTGTGTTAATAGTTGCGATCACAAAATCCTAGAGGGACTAAATTAGCGACATTCCATTTTGTCTGATTTTACTGCTATTACCAGGGATCCAAGGATTTTTTAGGTGGGGTTGTATGCTGTACTTATCCATAGTTAGTGTAATAGCTACAGTGGTGGTCGGCATGCCCGGTTTGGACTTTGGAGAAGGAGACGGGAGGACAGGCACAGAAACTAAGCAATGTAGCCTATAATCTTTATTTGTTATAACCACTACTGTAGACGGGGACAGCAACACTGAAATAACCCTTTAAAGTCCACTGTGCAATGTTGTAATGTTTGTTTAATAGATATTTGTGTTTCTGATTAGAAACTCCTTACTGTATTTTTTGTTTGTTGCTTTAAACTATATATCAATGTCAAATAGACAAGCAATGCAGTATATTAAATGTTTTTCATTACTAAAGTGCTGAAATGCCACAGAAACACTGCAAGGATGTACAAGGGAGTTAAGCTAGCATCTGGATGTTGCTTTTAGCGATCCCGTTTTCTTCATTTTCTTTGCCCTGTTCTGCCCACTCCTCATCTGTGTCATCCATTGAAATCCCTTTTTCAGCTGCCAACTTGCGGTAGGCCTGGCATTCGGTTTCTGCACTGCAACATAGAAAAACAGGATAATTTACTTATTTTCTGATGTATAAAGTAGGTTTCTAGATTATTTGGCTGTGTATTTGAAAGAGAAGCTTTGTAATCAAAATAAATGTTCAATTAAAGTACGACAAGTGTGAAAATTATTTTTTATATGGAGAGGTATGATTCACAGAATGAAATAAAAGTGGTGGAAGATTTGGAAAATTCGGATTTGTTTCATACTTTTTGAGAAATCGAACGCAGTCCTGGTGTCCATATATTTCAGCTATCCGCAGCGGTTTGTCTCCACAGCAGTCCTCCTTGTCTATAGGGGCATGAAGGGAATGTAGCAGCCGCAGCACGGCCAGCCTGCCGGACTCTGCAGCAAAGTGTGCAGGGGTCCATCCATGCTCCGTCCTCAGACACGGCCTGGCTCCATGCTCAATAAGGATCCTCACCGTCTCTGTATGTCCTGTGGAAAAGTCATCACAGTGTGATCTGACTTAGGCATCTAAGAATCTGGTGATTTTTAAATCTAATCCGCTAAAAACAAATTCTTATTTACTGTGGTAAAGGAAAAGAAAATGAAAGAAATAAGAGGAAGTTTGGAAGAAGCAATATAAAAACCCAGTACATTTAGTAATGCAACAAAAAGTGTGCTACACAATAAAGGCACAATCCATTTCATAAATGTGAACAAACGAGTATTAGAGGTGAAATAATTAATCACTTTAGCAATTAGCTGATATACAGACAATCTCTTGGCATCAAACATGATAATTGACGTGTTGGGCTCTGGGAACTTGAACATAGCCATTTCAAGATGTTCTGATATTCTGAACAATTAATTGGAAAAAAAATTCCATCAAATAACTGATAATGAAAACAACATTTATCAATTCAACACTCGGGAAAGATTGGAACAAATCAATCCCGAACTGACTGACAGGCTGAAATTATTGATGTTTTCTGATGCTGTACTGTAGCAATATGGACGAGTTGTTTAAACATCAAAACACAGCAGTAAAAAAATAAAATGATTATTGTGCTTTCAGCCTCAACAACATAGATGTGCGATTTACCTTTGAGCCTGTAGCTAAACTGTAACTTAAAGCACAAATTATTTGACCAAGAATCAGTTACACATAAAATACATAAAATAAGATAATGTCCCCAAAGGAGGAAAAGCAGAAACTCTATGAAACTGTTCATTTACATAGCATTTTGGACACCCATTCCCCGTGACAGTATTTCAATGGTGACCTGTGTAAAACTAATGATATTTAAGACCTGCAGGTGGCAGGAAAAAAACATATGATAAGTTTCCACCGATCCACTAACTACCTTTAGCTGCTGCCCAGTGAAGGGGTGTCTTGTAGCTCCAGTCGATGTCTCTCTGATTGGGATTGCATTTATTTTGCCCCAGAATCTCCTCAACTTGATCGAAATCCCCGGCTGCTGCTGCCTGGTGCAACTCTGTCATTTCGTTACAAACGCTGCCTATAGCAACAGTTGATCGACACAAGATGGAGCCCAGTGCAAACTTCAGCCTGCTAATGCTGCCACCTGCTGTACATGGGGATGAACATTAAACCAGGACATGTCTCATGTACACGACACACGGGGAAGGGCATCCTAAAGATAATTTCAAGTCTAGGAGAAAGATTAACGTTAGCTTTTTAAAACGTTTGTGAAAGAGGATTTTAAGCTAAAAGACTGTTCAGACATTCAGACCAACATGGCGGGAAAAAAAAAGACTCTCATAACACCTAGCTTACTTTTTAAGAGCATTTGTTAAAAATGTTCAGAAGCTTGCAACAAGAAATGCTTACAATTGAAAATGCCTTGAGAAAGGTTTATTTTCACAATAACAAAACATGCAATGCAATTAATATATAGATGAAATTGCATTGTCCAAAAAAGTAACTCCAGCTAGAAAAACAAGCTAATGATTATAAAATGACCTAAAAGGTGCAAAATAAAACAAGAACTATAACAAGTTTATCGGTTTTCTCCCTGTGAACAAAACAAAAGAGGAAGGAAGACAAATCAAGGATGGTGAACATGGTAAACATCATAAATGCATTTTAGCATTGTCCCTGTGACCCTGTTAGTATGTTGATGTTAGCACTGAGCTCAAATCATGTCTGACCAATGCATTCTCATCTTCTGTGCTGACTCAGCAGGGATGATTAATTAATTAATTAATTATTAATAATTAAATGAAAAATGTTGATCTACAGGAGAAACATATGAAAACAATTACATAATGCTTTACTGCATTATATTCCATTATATTTTAATATTTTGAATTGTCACCTGCCGCCTGAAATTTATGTTTCTGTTTAGCTAACATTACATGAATAAAAACATTTCCACCATAAAATGTAGAAAAGGCAGAAATTGGTTCAAGAACTTTCACCAGAATGCAGGAAATAAAGTGTTTATTGGCCAAAATAACCAGTTCTCCTGGTTATACATTTCTGCATTGAAATTTTTCTTTGAAAGAGTGCACAAATACATTCTCATCTTATTCTTGTGAACCCAATATTGTAAGTGTATGTCACACCCCTAATCTGAGCCCCTATGTTCCTTGTCAACACAAAGTTACACATACATTAATGTAACCACATATTTTTAAAAATACATCCATATAATAATACACAAAAATACACAGTAGCTACAACATTTTTGCATAAATGTATAAAAAGGTGTAGTAGTGATAGATAAAATCTTGAAATGTTGACAGATCTGTTGGACTGTCCTTTACCTAAACATTTGAAAGAAGATGACCAAAGAAAGACCTGTAACTCTCACGATAAATGAAAATCAGACATGAATACTTTTCACAATACTTGTGTCAAAATAGTGTGTTAGTTATTATTTGAAGTACATGATGTAACTTCCTTAATTTAGCCTCAGACCACAGAAGTAACATGAATCCAAACCTGAATTATTTAACACTGTACCTGGTTGTTCCTGAAGCCTGCACTTTCTGGCAAGATATCTTAACCACACTGGCAAACACGTTATTTTCTTTGGACCAAGAACTTTGTTTAATCTAAGTGTTAAGCAATCACATGGGAATCCAACTCCCCTCTCAGATGGTTCTCAAAAATTAATAGCTGCATTCCACTTGGGGAAAAACAAAACAAAAAACACAGTCCTAGTAATTGATATAATTAAACATTTATTTAAAGATTTAGCAGCCTTCATCAATGATGGAAGTGTAAAAAAAACCAAATCATTGTCCAACTTTAAAAACATATCTTTGTAGTGTGTCTTGTCTCCGTGGAATGCATTTTTTAGTGTGGGTTGGGCTGGGGACGGGACATAAGTTTGCCTTTGTTTGAACCTTGGGGCGCTTGTTACTGAAAGTATTTCTTGATGAAAACACCAGAACTGCAACTCCGATTTAAGCTCCACTTTCATATCCAAATATCATCACTTACATCAGAGCAAGGAGTCTGTCTTTTGTAGAGATTAGTATAGCTGACACAGCCTGCACAAGTTCATGTTCAAATGTATATGTACAATTCATTTGAAGGCCTCATATTTATTTATGCAAGTATTGTATGTTTATTTACATAAATTAACCACATGGTAAGCTTCCTTTCATTTAGTTATTAATGTTGGAGTTGATCAAACAAGTCATGTCACAACTGGGTGTCCACATGGGCATTTATGGGTCCAGATCTGAAACAAACACACACCTAGATTAGATCACATTTTATTAAATTTATTTTTGGTGAATTTAGATATATTTATTTTTAATTTCATGTAGATGCTACAATCAGCCATTTGCCATTCATAAAAACAAGTATTACTGCGGTAGGTTTTTATCCCATGAGAACCTTCATGACATGTCTTAAATGCCAAATTGGATCTAAAACACAATCTACAATTCATTTGAAGTTTTTTTTGGTTCATTTAACCCTGGTCCACTAAATGTGAGAGATCAAATGACATTAAATAAAACTAGTGGGAATTACATTAATTAAAAACCTAATAAATCTAAATTAGCAACAGGACATTTCTAAGGTTTCAAAAAGTGGCACCAAGTATAGTCTACTAACCTGATCCCAAATTTTCTGCCGAGGCATGGTCTGTGTCCTGTCCTTTCCAGTATTTTTCCATCAGTGTATTCACAACCGCTCCTTCACACTCTATTTCCACTGTATATTGAGGAACTGCAATCTCTGAATGGTCATCCATGTTGAACACTGTCACTTTGAGTGGTTTATCAACCAGAAGATTGTAGAAGTCTTCATCAACTTCGTCATCCCAGGAGCCCTTGGACTGATCAAATCCATTCAAAGAGCACAAAAAGGCCTGAGGAGCCTCATCCAGCAGACTCTGAGGAAGTGGTCTCACATTCTTGAGGTCAACATCAGACTCATTTCCATAGTCAATAAACACAACGTGGACTGCAACGTCACTTCTGTGAATTACTTGAGCTCGATACCACTGTTTATCGCTGGAAAACAGAGCAAGGCATGGACTGCCAGGACCAAGAGTCTTGGGGAACATTATGTCCTGCTCTTCCTGTCCTGCTTCCTGAGCAAGCCTTGAGACTTTGTTGAGCTCCTCTGTGTTGGCATACTGACACCAGAAGAAATGGGGTTCCACAATACAAGAGGCGTATACCTCTTCTTTTTTGTTTTTGAAAACGTTTGGCTCCTTGTACAGGGAAGTATTCATATTTCTTTTGGAAACACAGAAATGTGTCATGTTGGACTCTGTTTGACCAAACTGGAGTAAGTTTTCATTCGGAGGGCTTTTTATTGAAGCGTGTTCTTTGGCAACTGGTTTCCAGTATTTCTGCATTACTGCATTTGCAACCACTCCCTCACACTCAATTTCCACTGCATATTGAGGAACTGCAATCTCTGAATGGTCATCCACGTTGAACACTGTCACTGTGAGTGGTTTATCAACCAGAAGATTGTAGAAGTCTTCATCAACTTTGTCATCCCAGGAGCCCTTGGACTGATCAAATCCATTCAAAGAGCACAAAAAGGCCTGAGGAGCTTCATCCAGCAGACTCTGAGGAAGTGGTCTCACATTCTTGAGGTCAACATCAGACTCATTTCCATAGTCAATAAACACAACGTGGAATGCAACGTCACTTCTGTGAATTACTTGAGCTCGATACCACTGTTTATCGCTGGAAAACAGAGCAAGGCATGGACTGCCAGGACCAAGAGTCTTGGGGAACATCATGTCCTGCTGTTCCTGTCCTGCTTCCTGAGCAAGCCTTGAGACTTTGTTGAGCTCCTCTGTGTTGGCGTACTGACACCAGAAGAAATGGGGTTCTACAATACAAGAGGCGTATACCTCCTCTTTTTTGGTTTTAGAAATGTTTGGGTTCTTGTACATGCAGGAGTTCACATTTCCTTTGGAAACATCAAGGTGTGTCATGTTGGACTCAGTTTGATCACTCTGCAGTAAGTTTTCTGTTTGAGGGCTTTCTGTAAAAACATGTTCTGTGGCTGGTTTCCAGTATTTCTGCATTGTGTCATTTACACCCATATTTTCACACTCTATTTGCACTGAATATTGAGAAACCTCAATCTCTGTATGGTTTTCCATACCAAACACTGTTACTCTGAGTGGTTTATCAACCAAGACATTGTAGAAGTTGTCATAAACATTGTCATCCCAGGAGCCCTTGGACTCATCAAATCCATTCAAAGAGCACAGAAAAGCCTGAGGAGCCTTCTCCAGCAGACTCTGAGGCAGAGGTCTCACATTCTTGATGTCAACATCAGACTCATTTCCATAGTCAATAAACACAACATGGAGTGTATTGTCAGTTCTTTGAATTACCTGAGCTCGATACCACTGGTTGTCATTGGAAAAAAGAGCAAGGCATGGGCTACCAGGATCCAAAGTCTTGGGAGTCATGTCCTGTTGTTGATGTCCTACCTCCTGAGCAAGCCTTGACACTATGTTCAGGTCTTCAGTGTTGGCGTACTGACACCAGAAGTAATGTGGGGACACAATGCAGGAAGCAAATACATCCTCTGTCTTGTTTAGAGAAATGTTTGGCTTCTTGTACATGTAGATGTTTATATTTTCCTCAGGGCAAGGAAGGGAAGGTTGTGTAATTTCTGAGTCACTGTGGCCACCTTGTTTGAAAGTCTCTGCCAACACAGTTTGTTTTCTTCTTTCATCCAGTGTCTTTCCATGTTCCCTCTCTGGTGCAGAAACATTAGTTGTGGATTGTAAACTCATCTTTAGCTTGTCTGTAGTACACATCCCATTGCTGCTGTGGATTTGACTTTCTTCTGTTATGTCTTTTATTACTGATTTGTTCATGAGCTCTTGCGTTAAACAGTCCTCATTCGGCACACAAACGTGTTGTGAGCTGTTAGAGAGCGGCTGGTCAGTCTGCTGAACACCAACAGTCGTCTTTTGTTGGATCTTTGATAACCTCTCTCTGATTTTCACATTTACATTCAGAGATCCATCAAGCAGTTCGACAATTAGCTTCCCATTTGCCTCTTTTGCTACCACAGAAATTGTGAAACTATGGCCAATCGCATAATCTGCAAACCAATGGTTGACTTCCTGTGGCACTTCTGCAGGGACATTGAACAGTCCGAGTGGAACAGCCTGCACGGGAACAGACCTGGCGATACATCTTTCAGGGGGAAAGGGGCAAATATCAGATTCATTTACTGCAAGAGTCTGACCATAGTCCACAAAGCGCACTGTAAGTTTTGGAGACATTTCTACTATTTGACCTCTGTACCACTGATTATCAGTGTACCTAGCAAAGCAAATGCTATTAGGTCCAAGTGGGTGATCTGTGCACTGTGGCTGGCCAATTATATGGTGGACATTTTCCATCACTTTATTGAATAAATGAAAATTCCTGTTCAGTTGGCAGTAGAAGTGATTCACATTTTCTGAAGACGTTACCCACACCTTTTCTTTTCCACCCACCTCAATATTGTGTGTGGAGTAACTGTATGCATCAGGTGGGACCTGTGGTGGAATTTGCATGTGAGCGTCAGCCTGTGCACATTTCTGAGCCAGAAGCTTGCAAGCACTGTCAGACATTGTTTCAATATCTACTACGTTAAGCAGCAGATCTTCTTCATCAGTCGTTACAGCTTTTACAATGCATTTCAAGCCACTGTTTGACGAAACACCTGAATTCACAAACTTCAGAAACTCTGGTAATGCAGCATCAGTCCATGTGACGTCAGTGGGATTCTTCGGATTGAACAAGCAACACTGAAAAGCCTGTGCATTCAGCCATAAGAAAGAGGGATCAATGGGATGCACATCTCGCAGAGGGACTTTTCGAGTTTGACCATAGTCTATAAATCTAACATCAACAACAGGGGAGTGGTGGCTTGCAACAATCCTTGCTCTGTACCACATGCCATTGTCTGGATTACGGGCGACACAAGTGAACTCAACAAGTGGCTGAGGGTGAGCGGATGCATAGTGGTTTTGTAGATCTTGCATTAGGCGTCTAAGAGAGTCACCGTTTTCTGTTGTTTGACACCAGAACTTTTGTAGACTTTCAATGTAAGATACTTCTACATTGACACTCCTTCCTACAGTAAACACATTGTCATCACAAGAATTTTGCACCTCAGAGGGGAAACCTGTTGAAAGATGCCCGTTGCTCTGTATTAGAGGGTATGGATGCTCTGAGCCATCTTTGATATGAACATCATCAGCGCCAGAGGTGGATACATCATTTGTCCTGCCATTGACTGCTACATTCTTGGTTCCTGACAAAGTTTCCTCAGGTGAACCATTAACAATTATGTTGATTTTGTTCTTTAAATTCATGCATCGTTTGTCTCCAAGTGAACTGAGAAATGATGAGGGAATTGGTTCATTCTGGACATTTGAATCTTCAGTATCAGAGGGTGGAAAAAGTCCGGCCTTCTCTATAAAACTACCGTTTATGCATGCACCATTAGCTGCATAGAGAGTTACATAGTAGACATCTTGTGGTATATTGTGGTGAACAAACTTCACTGTGACTGTCTGGTTCAGGAGCTGTGATTTCAAGTAATCTGTCAGGTCTTTAGTCCACTCAGTGCCATTATCTTTTACACCATCAAGAGAACAGGGATATGTGAAAACTGGCATTCTCAGGAATTTTCCATGCAGTGGTTTGATGTCTCCATCTGCAACTAATTCAGTTTTTCCTTCATCCACATGGAAGACTTCTACAGCACTATCGCTCATCATGTTTTGCTTTAATAACGAGCGATGCCACCTGCCGTTTATCCCTCTAGCAGCACATGGATCCCCGCAAGTCTGTGGTTGTGCCTCTCCTAAATCTGAGCTCCCCTCATAGTGCTGCTGCATCTGCTCTGATAATATCTTCACTGCCTTGGAAAAAATGAGGAGTGTGCAAAAAATGTTCTGTGGATTAGTTACCTCTGTCACTTTAACAGTTTCAAAAGTGTCAGTTAAGAGCTCTGGGTAAAAGTATTGTTCATGCTTCTCATGTTGGCAACTAACATTTAGATTCAGCTCCTGCGTTGTGCGCTCAGCCTCAGAAGTTACCCCTTTTGGTAAATGAAGACATTTCAGTACAAGACATTTGAACTCGTCTACTGGTATCTTCTTCGCCACTCCAATCTTGCACATGTGCTTGGAAACAATTGGTAAGTCAAGGAGAATGGTCCTGTCTGGCATCAGGACATGTTGAACATGTCCCTTAAACTTCTTCCCAGGCAGAGACTCCAAAAACGTTGTGGCTCTTTGATGCCAGTTATTCTCAAGGGAGAGGACATTTGCAAGTATGCATGTTTCAATTTCAGGACTAAGTAGAAAAATGTCACTCTGGCCCCATGCTAAAGCTTCACTTGTGGTGATATGGGGGCGTCCCTGGTCAATTAGAAAAAGATTGTAAGTTTCACTTTGAATTGATACAATCCGAGCTCTGTGCCAGGTGTCGCTGATGTGAACCAGACAGAGGTCTCCTGGCTTTCCTTCTGATCCATTAAATTTCTTTTTAGGAATCTGAATGTCCTCTCTCACCTGCTCATAAATATGCTTCCTTCCATCATCCATATTAACCCATAATTCCACAAGACCACAACTGGGGTTTAGGTTTACCCTTGTGATGAGAACAGGAACTTCTGATCCTGGCGTTGGAAGCCCAGGAATTGAACACATTGTGAAGCGCAGAGGTTAAATATACCTGAAAAGTAGAAAAATAAATGTATTAATGTTAAAGAAAAATGGCCTTTCAGATCTCATCTCTGCACTTAATCTGCTAAAATGGTAATTTAACTTACTCTTCATGTCAAAATGGCTTCCACATAATGTTTGATAATGTCACTAGAGATGTACTCTCATCCTGCGGCATTGGTATTGGCTGCCTTTAAAATGCAATGTTATTTAGATGATTGTACAATTTGACATTCTAATGATGTTTTTATCTTAAAGTAGCTTATGTCAAAACTGTCAGCACTGCAACTACCATTATTATTTAGTAGTCACACAGCCCATCTGACCATTACATGGTTTGACTGTCACTAAGAGCACAATTATGGCCCTTTAAGAGAGTTACTGTGGGTAACTGTAAGTCAGTGCTAAATATTGTAAGCTGTGAATATAGCACAGTTATTGGTAGGCCGGTGTTCTGTTATGTCTTGTGTTTGTACGGCAGCTGAAGAGGAATACATCCCAATCAAATACATCGTCTCTCCACCAGCGCTTGTGAAGGAGGAGACTTTAAGTGAATTTTGCTGATGATACTTAGGTACTTTTACTTTTTCTGTACTTTAAGTCTGAATTCCGTACTTCAGACTTCTATTTTTAGACTATGATATTTCTCCTTTTACTTAAATTTTTTTTTAAAGGATCACTTTAATTGTAAAAGTGTGATAGGCAGTATGAAGTTTACAAACAAATGCATCATAGAATAAGGAAGCATGTAATGTGAACACATGTCAAACACAGGAAACCTGCAGCTGCAAAGAGGAACACTGGTCACAAGTAGACCACCACCAACACTGATGGCTAAAGACTTGACAAAATATTTGAGCACTAAACACTGCAAACTAGGCAAAGAGAGAGAGGGAGATGAATCAACAGCTCTGCCAGCTTCAAAATAAAACATTTTTACCAGGTATGAACCCTAATTTTAACTTCATTAAAGGTCCAAGTTGTCTCATAAACTTCTCACAATCACAATCTCAGAATCCTTGTGTACAGCACCACAGGTTTAAAAGGTTAGTTTTTAAACCTTTAGATTTTTTAAATCAATTGTTATTTTAGGGATCCATCTAATATACAGTGAGCTACAGTAATACTGTAATGCTGGCAATCATATTAAACATCATATTTACACTACTGTAACAGACACTATATTGCAACATTTTGACAGTAATCAGAAAGTAATATTTTGATGTAATTAGCAAGTGTGTGTTTATGGTGCTCACCAGGGTAATGATGAAATGCTTGCTGGTTGACACAGAACTGAAATATTGTGCTAATATAAAGAGTCTGAGCCAGGGATTTGTGAAGTTTTTTGCACTTTGTAACTAAAAACTGTGGCGCTTAAATGTGAAATTTGGGCTCTTTTTGTACAATCAAACTCTGTTGTGAATCAATTGAGCACTCAAAATGCTGTACTACTGGTAACACGTGATTGCCTGTGTTTAAAATGATGAGCAATCTCCACAAATCATAGTTATTTCACAACATAATTTACTAATCCTAAAAGAATGACACAGTAAATTTCCTTATTAGCTCTAATCCTTCAGTACAGTTGCAAATCCAGCTCCTCGTGCAAAATCGCTGGTATTGAATGACATCCCTATCAAAGATGCGTGCTTAACGCCATACACACCCTTCACCTCGCTTTCCAAGGGCTGCTACTGGTCTACACTTTCAACTCACAACTTGCAGACTGTTATATCATTATACATGAGTAGATTAAACTTTTCTCACCGTGTTTGGTGCAGCCGACTCATCGTTTTTCGTGTTTCATTGCCTTGAGTTGGAGGCGGGCACTAACACCAGCGTTTTAAAGTGTTTCATTGCGCCGCATTTTCCTCTGGGCAATTATTATTATGCCTCAAAAAGCAATATATAAAGAAGACTGTTTATAATAGTTTAAATTGGTTTATATTGGTTAAACACCAAATGCTGCACAATTTAATGTTGAAGTTTACCTTCTCACCTCTATATTCAAAAACAAAAAACGTGTGTTGTGGACGCACGCACAGGTAGGCAATGAGCCAATCAAGCAGCACGCTCTCGGTTCCGTGTTTGGAAGTTAAGCGACACCCAAAACTGTCACTGCTGCTGAAGTTCAGTTCAGTCCGACCAGGAAGTCTTTAAACGGCGCAGTGTTTTCCCATGACCATGTTATTTTTGCAGGCTGCACACACATGCGATCGCACTACGGTAGGCGGTGAAGTCTTGATAATACTTTCCTAAATGCTGCGAGTGGTAGGAAAAACACAGCATGTTCAGCTGACTTTGAATGCCTTCTAGATATCCCATGACGTGACTGACAAAGAATAGTGATTTAGAGCTATATCGTATACATAGGCATACACAAAGCTTTATGAAATAGGTTTATTAAGACCTAATACAAATGAATCTCAGTGTGAAACAGCTAAAAAACATTTGGACACACAAAAATCTGGTTTGAATGCAGAGCTGTGTTACACAGTAACACCTGTTACTCTTGCTGCAGTGTTACTGCTGGTTTCAGGCTGTGGCTTCCTGGCTTGAAGACAAAAGGCTCACTTTAATTTCTTTCTCCCTTTGAAACCAGTGTTAGCCTAATTGCATTGTTTATAGCTATTCAGTATCTCCAAATATTACCCTGCAGTAGGTTTGACGTCACATTTGCACACTTCTCAAAATAGCAAAACTTAGTTTCTATAAAGGAGGAACTTGTTTAGGGCATTGAGTGATAGCCATAATTAATGTGCAAATATGTCATAATTCAAAAAGATGTCCAATTTCCAGTAAAAGACAATGATTTAGGTATTTGAAGCCATGCATGTTTAAAACCAGGTTTACTACTTTATTACAGGTTACTGTTCAGTTTGTGAGGCCATAATTAATTACAGATTTCACCCCTTACGTTTGAGTTGTGCGGTGTGAGTATGTGTTTTGTGAACTGAGATGAATGAAATGATAAAACCTCTGAGACAAAAAAGGTTTCACATGGAGGTTTAAAATGCGGCCTGTCGGGGCTGACCTAAAGTGTCCAAGTCTGTCTTATAGTGAATAAATAATATCTTGTAGTACAGGCATTAGTGTTCTGAGTCTTCCTGTTAATTCTATTTCCAGTGACTTGTTTCAAAATGAGTAAAAGGAAAGGCAAGGTGATCAGTGATGCGACAGCTGTCAAGAGCCGCAGACTGACAGCTGTGGGTATCGAAGATTCATCAGATATTTTAAAACATCAGAGACCGTCTTCCAGCAGCTTCTCTCACTCTGCCACAGTGAGTTATTTCCCCATAAAGCACTAATGTCTTCTTCTTTACCTTCCACTGTTGAATATTGTTTTCTGCATGTATTTCTAGGGAGATATTGGCCTCATCGAAAGTGTCACTCTAAAGAATTTCATGTGTCACCATTTGCTCGGTCCGTTCCAGTTTGGGCCCAATGTGAATTTCATCGTCGGCAACAATGGAAGTAAGAATCGGATTTCTAAATGTCATGTGATGTGCTGTTTGCTTTGGCCTGTGTGTTTAACACTCCTTAACCAAGGCACCTGGGGAATGTTTGGGGTTTTGCTTGAAAAATTACTTTGAAAATAGTTACAGATTATTATTATTTTTGTTTTCTCAATCTATTTAGCAACTAATCCATTAATCATTTTAGATCTAATCCTATACCTAACTAGAGGGCTCTCTTCTCAAAAAATTATGAGAATAATCAGTGTCTGAATAAGACATTTTCATTCAATTTATTGTTTTTATGAACTGTTACTCATAAGTAAGTAGATGAAATTACTTGATTTGTTTTTTTAATGGACTTTATTTAAAGGTTCCTCTGCATAAATGAAATTCATCTGAGGAGGGAAAATAACAGTGATGATCAAAGCTTTTAGGGAAAGAAATCATTTTACTCTCATTTGACAAAGCATTTGTTTATTTGGTGACAACCCTCTTGCATTTCTGCGGCTGGGTGATTTCTATTTCTTTACATACAATCTTCAGTTCTGCTTGCGAGCCAGTAACAACTATGGGGTAATTTCCTTGCAGTTATTTACTCACTTGTTGGTGTTGTTTCCCATTTAATTCTCAGGCGGAAAAAGTGCCATCCTGACTGCTTTGATTGTAGGCCTCGGTGGAAAGGCCACTGTCACCAACAGAGGAGTGTCACTGAAGGATTTTGTGAAGAGTGGTGAAAGGTAGGGCAGAGTACATCATGTTATACCCATAGTGAAACATTTCTCAATGACAAATCGACGAGTTATGTTGTTTGTATACCAGTGGGGCACTGGTCCCAGAGGGCCATTACAATACAGTCTGCTCTCTAGTACTGCAGATATAACCATAAAGCTGAAAAACAGAGGACCAGATGCTTATAAAAGGGATGTCTACGGCGACTGTATCTCCATTGAGCACAGGATATCTTGCGATGGATGTCGGACCTGCAGACTGAAGAGCAAGTCAGGTGACTTAACTGAGTTAAAAACGTGTCCAATTCTTATTAAACCTTCCCTAAATGTGCAATAAACCACTTCAATCAGACATTTTTCCAAGCTGAATATATTCTTTTCTCATGGTCAGGAATGTCCCTCTATGAACTTGCATGCATACAATTTTAATGCATGGCACTGTTTCTCTGTTTTGTACCATGTCACCAAGTGTAAATGTAAATATAAGACATATTTACACTCACACATGGACTGATGCTCTTCATTAGTTGTAAATGTCAGTGAGTTATTTTCTTAATAAAAATAACTTCCTTACCAATTACTGATTGAGCTCACTGAAAAGTTTGCTTCTGAATCAGTTTACTTATTTTGTCCTTATTTTTTCAGTTGCAATGTGCAGGGCTGCAGCTAACGATTATTTCTCGAGATATTTGAATAGCTTTTATTAACAAACTAAAACTAAAAAAAAAATCTTAAATCCAGATTTGATACCAATAATTATCATGATAAATGTCAAATCAGTATTTCCGCTCAAGTTTAAAGGCTGATTTTTGCTCCTGAGTATAAAGTTAAAGAAACCAGACGGTTAATTTCTTCATGGTCGAAACAAACACTTGCCGAACAATGGATCACTTAACAAAATATCCAAATATAAAGTTAGATGAAAGATGATAAATCTTTTTTCAACATAAAAATTTGCATTTAGTAAAATTAGGTAAAAATGTTCCTATGGTTTTTTTTCGCAACAAAACCAATATCTTAATAGAAAAATTAAGGGGTGATTTGCTTGTGAAATTAATTAAATTCAGCATTTATTGTATATTTCTTATATTTATATTGAGAAAAATTGCATTGAAATAATTTTTGTTCTTGTTTTATTGCCATGCCCTACTTTTAACCATTAGTTGTCTTCTGTGATGTATTTTAGGTCAACTTATCTCAACCAAAAAGGAGGAATTGACGGCCATTTTGGACCACTTCAACATCCAGGTATTTATGTCAAGCCAGATTCTACAACTTTTTAACTACCACTGAATGCACAATTTCTTTTTATGACGATTTTAAATGTAGTAATTATTTCTGGTTGTTACAAACACATCCTCCTTACTACAACATAATTAAACCTGAAAGCCTCAGCAGCACATTTGTTTTGTGTATTCCAGCTGGATAACCCAGTGTCCATTCTCAACCAAGAAATGAGTAAACAGTTCCTGCATTCAAAAAATGAATCGGACAAGTATAAGGTAAAACACCGCCATGTTATTTATGAGCTTCAAATTTTACGATTACATCTTTATTGAGAGACTAATTTTGTTTGTGATGTTTTCTCTTTTCCTCTTTTCTTTTTTATTTTGTAGTTCTTCATGAAGGCAACTCTGTTGGAACAGATGAAGAGGGATTACATTCACATCAAGCACACTAAAACAGTCACGCGACAGCAGGTTGAGAGACAAGAGGAGGTACTGTATTCAACACACAAACTTCCTAACGTCGATTTATTGAACATCAGTTCAGCATGTTTATATATATATTATATATGTATAATGTTGTCAACCAATAACTTTAAATGAGATTTTAACAATTGTAATATTAACTTAATGTATAGTAGTTATTTTTAGTTTTAAACACAGTGAAAGTGATCATTAGCTTAAATTGGAAATTTCAATTTAAACGCTTCTTGTGAAATCCTCTGGAGAATGTCTGACCTTCCTTGTAAAGCCAGGCCATTTTTGTAAATAAAAAGTTGTTCTTAGGTGTCCTGCCTGGTTAAATAAAGGTTTAAAAATACTGATGCCAGGGGTGGAAGAAGTATTTAGATCATTTACTTAAGTAGAAATGCCACACTGCAAGTGAAAGTCTTGCATTCAAATCTTTACTTAAGTCAAAGTAAAAGTATTATCAGCTAAATTTACTTTAAGTATCAAAATCTGGTTGCTGTCACTGTTTTACTTTAATATGTGATGTTTTTGGATTATCATAACACTGTATTGTGTATGTTGCATTTTACTGCTGTAGATGTTTAAGGTTGAGCTCATTTTAACCCGTTTATATGCTGTTGGATATATTAATCTACAGCAATGCATTATATTTTATATGATCATCATATGTTTGTAGTGTTGCTGTCCTGTGAGAGCCACATATCTCTAAAACGTCAGCACAGACGATGCATTTTCCAGCTAATCCAAGTTGTTTTTTTGTTATTTTTAAACAGTTTATTTAGCTCAAGAAGTAGGATAATTTTTCTCAACCCATATGTGAACACTTAATCCTGCAGTTTATCAGAAAAAGTTTTAATTAAAAATCAACAAATAAAAAAAATTAAAAATTGGTTTTCACTGGACAGGAAGGGTATGAAAAATTGTAATCTGAAAAGAAACTAGGAACTAAAGCTGTTAGATAAATGTAGTGGAGTAAAATGATTTTTCTCTAAAGTGTAGTGAAGTAGAAGTTTAAAGTTGCATAAAATGGAAATTTTCAATTATAGTACTTGAGTAAATGTATTTAGTTACATTCCACCACTGACTGACACATCTTTAAAAATAATCTAAAAACCCATTTGTTTTCTTTGGCTTTCTCTTGGTTTGATATCTATTTTTATTTTGTGCTTTGTACACACAGTCCTGCTTGTTTTATAACCCGTCTTGTTCTTCCTCCCATTAAGCACTTTGTAACCTATTTTTTTTAAGATTATAGATGAATTTTGCTTGCTTCCTTGCTTACTGCTGTTATGTTTGTGTATGATTAATTTTATATGTATATTCTTTTGCTGCAAGAAAATATAATTTTTTAGCTCTCACATATTATTGTGTTCAGTGTATCAAGGACCTGAAGCAAGAGTTTCTACAGAAGAAAGAGAGGTACGAACAGTTGTCGTCCTTCAGTGACATGAAGGTGGATTTGGAGAATCTGAAGAAAACAATGGCATGGTGTTTGGTAAGAGTTTATCATTCCTCATTGTATAAAACATATTTAGAAATTATGAAGAGTGTTTTGGAAGAAAGAAGAAAATTTTGAATGAATCATGGTAATGTTTTTATCACTCTCAGGTCAGAGAGAAGGAGCAGTTCATACAGCAGTTGAAGGAAGACATTGAAAAGGAAGAGAATAATTACAAACATCAGGACAACCTTCAGCTCTGTCAGGTGAGTCACAAGTGTTCATATTCTGTTAAATATACACAGAAGACCAAACCTTCTTTACTTCACATGCTGCATTTTAGTCTTTACAGATGTCCTTCAATGGAGTTATAACTTGATCTTCTAGCTTCTAGATGTGGTCTTGAAATGTACTTTTGTTCTTTCTCTCATCTTTCACACAGACTAAGCTCATACAAGTAGAAAAGAAGCTTCAGTGCATCAAAAGCAGAATTGATTGTCTGAGAGAGGAACATGAGTCTCTCTCAAAGGACAGTCTCATGTTGAAAGAGCAAGTGAAGGTCAATAGCAAAGCTCACAAGGAACAGGAGGTACCTATTGGGAAATATGATAATATATGTCAATATATCAAGTGTACATCATTTATATTGTTTAAAGTCTGTTAAAGTAAAGACTCTTCTCCCATAGGTTGTTTATTTTAGGGCACTGAATAAGCTCAAACAGTCAGAGCAGGAGCAAGACCTTCTTCAGGAGAAAATTAACAAGGCAAAAACAAGGTAGGGGAGCAGAAAGGCAAAAAAACAACAACCATGACTTTACCTTCATCCAAATGCATGCATTTACTTGAAATGATATTGTATTTCACGGTATTTTAGTGTAATGTTAAACAATGACGGAGAGACAGAATATACAAAACAGCAGAAGAAAATATCCAGTCTGAAAGAGCAGCTTGCAGAGCTTGAGAAAACGTCCTCACAGCTGAATCAAGAGATCAAGAACAAACATCAGGCACTTTTCAAAGGAAAGGAAGAACAGGACAAGCTGAGGTACGGGAAAAGAGTGATTCTTTCACATTAATGTACTGTCAAGGAGGTGTGGCATGAGTGTATGCAGTGAAGTGAAATGTCCTGATCCAGCTCTGTTATTATTGACTAGATTGGAGGAAAGAAATATCCAGGTTTTGTACGCATCCAAGCTGAAGAGGAAGAATCAGCTTCTTGCCAGTCGAACGAACAAACTGAAGCGGTTTGGAGACCATGTTCCTGACCTGCTGAATTCGATTACTGAAGCGTATGCCACAGGACGCTTTCTCAAGAGACCTATTGGTCCAATAGGTAACATTGTTTTTTAATTTTAGTTTGCTTGATTTTCTTTCTGCTTTATAGAAGAGAATACACTTATTCGCTTTCTTTTCAAGAGTTAGATGAAATGGGAGAAACAACTAGCATGGCTTTGTCCTAAGGTAACAAAATCCGCTCAGATGTCGTTTGTTAAACCTGTACAAAAAGTAATGTACATAACGATGAAAGGGACTATTTCTTGGCGGGGCGCATTAAATTTATTGATGAATAAGTAAAGAGCTGGACAGAGCCAGGCCAGCAGTTTTTCCAGTCTTTATGCTAAGCTACACTAACCGGCTGCTGGCTGCGTTGTGTCAATCTTCTCATCTAATTCTTGTCAAGAATGAATGTATGTCCAAAAAAGGCGAACTTCAAATTTAATAATTGGCTTTTATCTGTGTGTATATATATACACAGATAAAAGCCAATTATTAAATTTGATATAAGTCTATATAAGTCTAATATAACCAGAGTACCATAAAACTTAAATTAAAAGCTTAGGCCCAATTATACGCCTATCCCTTTTTGACAAAAAAACGCAGGTCTCAATTAGACACCTGGTCTGTTTTTGTATACAAACTTCTGAAAACCCACTGGGTCACCCGCTTGAGCTACTTCTAAGCTGCTTAGACCATGCAGATAAATAGACATGTTTAAGCTTTTGTCGATAAAGACAATCTACACATCGCAGGATCAATTGGATTCTCCATCATTCAGTTAATTTTACTGAGAAAATTCACATTTACCGGTACAGTACAAGTAATATTCATACTGGTTGAAATAAATGATTCATAGTACGCTATTTTCCATTTTTGCTGAGCAAGAGTTTTGTGCAAAAGGATATAAGGGCCTGTCCAATATAGATGCAAATCCCAAATATAGGGTTAGTTCAGTGACTAAAGAAAATAAAATCCTGGGTAATTAATTACTGTTTTACTATTAATTAGCTACAAGGTTTCATACTGTCAGTTGTCATTTCTGCTTTTCAAATATTAAAAATCTCAATTCAGATCATATATTTGCAGCGAAGCAGTAAAAAAATTTTACATATTGAAGCTGAGAGACTGTGTTTTTGGTCTCAGGTGTGTGTATCAGTTTGAAAGATCCCACTTTGGCTGTAGCCGTGGAGTGCTGTCTGCGGAGCTTCATGAAGGCTTTCTGCTGTGACAACTATAAGGATGAGGCTGTCCTTCAGGAGCTGATGTCTCACTACTATCCAAAGGGCAACAGGCCGCAGATCATTGTCAGCCCTTACTCTGAAAAAGTTTACAACATTCATGGACGGTCAGCAGCAGCAGCAGCAATTCAGATTAGATGACTTTTCTTTCACAGCAGTTTCCCGACACATTTTAAAGCGACATCTTGTTTTCCTTCTCTGCTGTTTTTGTAGGAAAGCATATCATCCAGAATACCCATCTGTGTTGGACATAATCACAGCATCAAGCCCAGTCATCATCAACTGCCTGATTGATATGAGGGGGATAGAATCAATACTGATCATAAAAGTTAGTATGTCGCTACTGCATGTTCATGTTGAATATTGCATGTAGAGTTGTTTTAGGGTTGATGTAGTAATTAGTTTCTGTTTCAGTGCCATCTGACCTGTGTTTTATCAAAGGAAAAAGACAAAGCAAGGAGGGTCATGCAGCATGGCCGGCCACCTAAGAACTGCCGTGAAGCCTTCACTCTTGAAGGAGATCAAGTGTATCCAAACCGCTATTACACCTCTGACTTCAGCATGGCCAAATATCTCGGTGGGGATCTCGAGACTGAAATAAGGTAAGGTCAGTTGATATGTGAAACACGTTAGATGTGAAAAATATATGGTGAAAAGGAGAAGAGAAACATGACCAAATGCATATTTAATGATAATTTGAAGGAAGGAGAAATTAAACCTGAAAGTTTAAACCAGCTGCTAGCAGGGACCTGGATTTTAAAGGCAGATCCATACTGTGCTTAATCCTCTAAAGAAACTAAACTAAAGAATAAATAGCAGATGAGACACTAAAGTAAATACGTGAGAAAATGTAACACTTAATCCCAAATAAACCTTGAACTCAGTAACTAGTACAAGATGTTTAGAATTAAGATCAAAAGCAAGGATCTTTATGGAAACCATGTTGATTTTTAAACTAATGAATTTTACTTTAAATTTTGAAATAAGGTTCTTTATAGGATCTGTTTAAGATTTTGGGAAATGCGCTTATTCACTTTCTTACTGAGAGTTAGATGAGAAGTTTGACACCCTTCGAACAGTAAATATAAAGCTACAGACCGCATCCGGCAACAAGGTCATATCTTGTTGTTTTAATCTGAGCCAGGCTATCGGTTTCCACCTGTGTCCAGTCTTTATGCTAAGCTAAGCTAATCTGATGCCTGGTTTGAGCTTCATGTTTGTCGTACAGATATGAGAGCGGTATAGATCTTCTCATCTATCTCCCTACAAGAAAGCAAACAAATGTACTACAAAATGACAAACTACAACTAAGTTATTGAAACACTGCATGATATTATCGACATACAGTGTTCTGCATTTCCTTTTCCAAATGCTGCATTAATGCCATTTGGTGCTCACACTGGGAGAAATACTCACAATAACACTGTCAAATGGAAATGTGTGTGTTCCGCTGGGCTGCTCAGAATGTGTTTGCAGGGTTTGTGAGTTTTCAAAAGAGGTGTTTACTTACTCTTTTGGATAAAATCCATCCTGCCTGTCACAGTCTGTTGGAGTCAGACCTGGAGAATCACCAGGCTCAGCTGTCCAGGTTTCAGCTCCATGTGACCTCTGTGACTGAGGACATCGTGAGCATGGAGAAGAAGCTGAACAGTACCATCATGACCCTAAAGAAGACTCTGGTCAGTGAACTGCACTCTTGCAGGATGTGCACCAGAACCTTGTTTAACTATAATGCTGTTTGGTTAATACATTTTCATTTGTTTCCCTCCTGTTCTTGCTTCCTCTCTGCTTACCTTAATGCTCTTTGTGGGAGAAAGATTTAGTAAATGTCACTGCTGAGAAGAGAGTGATTAAGCAATATTTTCGAAGGTTAAATTGGAAATTATAATTATTTAATTGTTTTTTTTCAATGCAGGCATCTGTGAATCAAGTCAAGGCAACAATAACTGAGCTGGAGACTGCTGGTGAAGAGCAAATTGATGACATCAGCTCCTTGGTGATCATTTAGTTTTTATTTGCACCCCTTCAAACCAGACATAAATTCTAGCCTACATTATGTAAGTCTAATGTCTTCAAGTACTTCTTGTAGGAAGAAGTCGCCCAAGAGAACCAACAGAAAATCGAGGGAGAAAAGCAAACTGTTCATAAAGAAAAGATAGAGCTCGACAAGCACCGGAAAATAGCAGAGGATATAGAGTCTGAGTACTCTTCTGTTAAAGAACGGATTGATCAGCTTCCTGAGGACATGGAGCCATTAAAGGTACAGCAGAGCATTGTTGTATCACTTTGTTTAGAGGAAACAAACTAAAATAGTTTTAGAAACTAAAAGATGCTGCGGTTGCAGGCTCCTCTTTGTGGTTTTGATGTTGCTTCTGTCTTCTGATTTCAAATGTTTTTGAACTGTATATTGTTTTATTGTAAAATGCTTTTTGAGGACAGCTTCTGTCAGCAACTGTGCCTAAGAAGTAGTGAAATTGATTATTACTGTTTGTTGACCCAAAGGATGAGCAACTGAAGCTGGAGGTTGAGTCCATGAGACATGAACGAAACCTTAAGGTTTTAGAAAACAAACTGAAAGCTCATGAAGACAACATCCAAGCAATGAAAAGTGACCTTGACCAAAGAGAAGACGAGTTACAGGTAACAAGCTGTACTTAATTTGTTCATCTCATTATGCTTTTGGAGCATTTGGAGGCTTTTGTAGCTTGAGAATGTACTCTAGATTAGGCCAGTTGCTGCACTTTAGCTATACTAAGCTATATACATCAGTGATCAGTTAGTAAACTCTACCAAAGAGATGACTTCCTGCCTCCAGTGTACTGTAGATGTCTGCAGAAATTCATAATTGTCAGACTGTCAGCAGACCTCACATGTGTTGACAGGAATATGTGGCCAAAGCCACAGAGATCAGTCCTGAGCGGCAGCAGGTGACTGGCAGCACCAAGAGCATTGACGCAGAAATCACTCGGTTGAAGAAGAAAATCAAGGTGTTCGAGACCAGCCACGGCGAGCAGGAGCAGGTGGTCAGGTGAGAAATCACAGGCTTTCTAAAAAACATCTTTGTGTTATCTCACTGTGAACTCAGACTGACTTTATTTTTAGTACAAAACATTTCCCAGGGGCCTAGGTGCTCTGGAGTCAGATCTAATGTTAGAGGTTGAAACTCAGTGCCACAGTTTGTCCTTGAGCAACTTGAACAACTGAGAAACCAGTCAGTATCTGGTCTGACCACTATTTTCCTTACGCAGTGCAACACATCTCCTTCGCATAGAGTTGATCAGGTTGTTGATTGTGGCCTGTGGAATATTGGTCCACTCCTCTTCAATGTCTGTGCAAAGCTGCAGTCAGGTCGAGACCCCGATGAGGACGACGAGCATGCAGATGAGCTTCCCTGATAGTTTGTGCAGAAATTCTTTGGTTATGCAAACCGACTGCTGCAGCAGCTGTCCGGGTGGCTGGTCTCAGATGCTGGATGTGGAGGTCCTGGGCTGGTGTTGTTACACGTGGTCTGCGGTTGTGAGGCCGGTTGGATGTACTGGCAAATTCTCTGAAACGAGACGGCTTATGGTAGAGAAATGAACATTCAATTCACGGGGAACAGCTCTGGTGGACATTCCTGCAGTAAGAATGCCAGTAGCTTGCTCCCTCAAAACTTGCGACATCTGTGGCATTATGCTGTGTGATGGAACTGCACATTTCTGAGTGGCCTTTTATTGTGGCCAGCCTAAGACACACCTGTGCAATACCCATGCTGTCCGATCAGCAACTTGATATGCCACACCTGTGAGGGGGAAGGATTATCTCAGCAAAGGAGGAGTGCTCACTGACACAGATTTTGACAGATTTGTGAACAATATTTAAGAGAAATAGGCCTTTTGTGGACATAAGGAAAGTCTTAGATCTTGATGAATGAGGACAAAAACAAAAGTGTTGCGTTTATAATTTTGTTCAGTGTAGTGTAATATAATAATAATAATAATAATAATAATAATAATAATAATAATAATAAATAAATAAATAAATAAATAAATATATATATATATATATATATATATATATATATATATATATATATATATATATATATATATATATATATATATATATATATATATATATATATAATATATATATATATATATATATATATATATATATATATATATATATATATATATATATATATATATATATATATATATATATATATATATATATATATATATATTATATATATATATATATATATATATATATATATAATATACAGATATTACACTCAATGGGCAATTTTCTGTATTGAGCACTTTTACTTTTAATACTTAAAATATATGTTGCTAATGAGACATTTGAAATAAGTAACATTTTAATGCATTACTTTTACTTACTAAACAATCTGAATACTATCTGATATAAATGATTACTCCACTCCTGACCACAGCATACAGGCCTGTTTGAGGCCAGCTAAGCTAACCAGGTAAGTTAGATCATTTACTGAAGACTTTTTTTTTTTTTAGTTAGAAGAAGAGTTAGAGGAGTCTTCTAGCTTCCTTCTGTCTAATCATTTCACTGGGTTGCAGCTTTGGCAATCTAGTCAGACAAGCGATGTGTCTCTACCCACTGAGGTTCAACCCATCCAATTGAGATTTCTTCTGCCACTGACATACTTCAATCCAACCTACCCGTTGGCTATCACTAAATCATTTTCTGGCCTTATTCTGGAATAAGAAACTTAGACTGCCGTTTTCTGTCCTCTGTTCTCATTAGGGAGTACGCTGAGGCCCTCGCTCTCTACAGACACAAAACCAACCAAGTGAGAGATCTGCGTAGGTTCATCGATCGACTCGATAACATCATGTCAGACAGGCAGAACAGATACAAAGTAATGCGTAGGTAAATAACGCCCTAGTAAGTTTGAAAAATAATTCAGAAATGCTTGTATGTTGTAATGATTATAGTGTCTAACTGGCAGTGGAAAGTCCTGCTTGTGTTTGTCTGATTCTTTCATCTTTTTCTACTTCCTAAAGGTCCCTCTCTGTCAGATGCAAATTATACTTCAATAACTTTCTGATCAAGTTGAACTGCTGTGGCTCGATGATTTTTGATCACAACAACGAGACACTCTCAATCTCGGTATGTCTGTTCAACATTTTCTTTAGTTTTTTTGTAAATACATGGAACGTTCCTTTGTATGTTTAAGAATATAAACAGTGTATACTGCAAAAGACTGGTGACAACACTTAAAGTTAATTACCTAAACAGAATTTACTTTTAAAGTAAGATGGGGTATCCTGGTGACCAAGTGATGGCGACATCCTCATCCTCAAGTCTGCGCCATAACTCCTCTCTCTCCCTACTGCTAGAGTCTACTACTGTTTTTCTATTTTCTTTTTTTTTATTTTATGGGAAAAATATTCAGTGCAAGTAATACACAAACCTGTTCTCACACACGTAAAGGTAAAGCCTCCGGGCAGGGAGGATGATGGTGTGAGTGACATGAGGTCGCTGTCTGGTGGCGAACGTTCCTTCTCCACTGTTTGCTTCATGCTCTCCCTGTGGGAGATCACCGAATCACCATTCAGATGCCTCGATGAGTTTGACGTCTACATGGTGAGAGCACAGTATCTCACAAAACACAATTTGTATAAAACAATGAATGTAAGTTTGTATTTGACTCACTGTGACTTTATTATTTTGATCTAGGATATGCACAATCGTAGAATCTCTCTGGATCTCCTGCTGGAGCTGTCAGAGCGGCAGCACCTCCGACAGTTTGTCTTCATTACTCCCCTCACCACCAGGTGATGCTCCTCTTAATGTTTTTTCTGTTTATGTGTTGTCCTTTCCATAATCTTTACATTTTACATAACTTTGTTTTGTGCATCTTTGTTTCCAGTATGGGGACGGAAGTGTGCCATCACATTAATTACAGAATAGATTTCTTAAAGTGGTTAATTATAATCTGTTACTCAACTGATAACTTTTGTAAAACAAATTTATGAAATGATTATTTATTTAGTTTTAAATGAAAACTGAAAATACAAATAATAAACTTATTATTAATGTGTCTGTTTCTGTCATAAAATTGTGTATTTTTAATGCATTTTTATTCTTATTTGTGAAATTATTTTAAAAAGGCTTTTCAATGTATTACTTATTAACAAGCAGTTCTATCATTATACATTATAATTCATAAATTATTACAATTATATAATAATATATAATTTGTTATTAGTCATTCACTGCTAGATTTAATTGCACCATCTTAGTACAAATTTCATATAATATAATAAAAATAATATTTTATTTTAATTATTTTGTTTTAATTATTACGGTGCCCTTCCTGTTGTCCCTCTTTGCTTAATTCACTGTGTCAGTAATGTTTGATGACTAATATTAAACATGGTTTGTGTTATGCAGCAATCTACCCAAAACCAGCCTCATCAAAATCCACCAGCTTCAGGATCCGGAACGAGTCCGGAGTGAAACGGGGGATGAAGACGTTTGAAATGAGCTCCAGTGACAACAAAAGGAATGTTTATGTGCATAGTCAGTGTATATTTCTGTTTTACTGTATGTGTGTGTTGCCAGGAGGCGTGTTATTGTTGTTTTTCACTCTAAAGCCTGTTTCTGGACTTGTCAGTAAGACCGGGGACTTTTAAGGATGTTGATTGGTTTGTCAGATGAAGATTTTTTCGATCTGTTTAAGTGTAAAGGGCAGTACTGCATCAAGGGGCTGTTAGCTAGTCTCCTTTTCTTCATATTAGTATTCTGAGTATTTATCATCCATTGTACACATTTTAGACATCTCAGTAACTAAGATTATCTCCAGTTCTGGTCAAACAAATATAATCATTTAACAGATTGAGTTCCCAGCTTAATAAACGAGTGCTTGTGAAGAATGCAGATCTTCAAAACAAAAAAATTGTACATTGAAAGTTTTTGTTACAGTTTTACAGTGCTATTTTTATGTAGTTTACCTCAGGAGTCTGGTACCAGAGAAGACTCTACTGGACCCAGGACTCTACTTTACCTGTCAGTGTTAATATTTTTACAGTTGAAAATATTTGGACTCTGTAAATACATATGCACATTATTGTTTGGTTGAAAATGCTCATCTAGCAGTAGTTAACTGCAGTGTAGAATCATAAACGTTGTGACAATAAACTACGAGAAGAAATTGTGGATATTTAAAAACTTGTGTATGTTATACTTTTCATACATACAGGGCTATCCATTCATGCGTTCCATCCTTTCATCCGTATCAACATGTATATTCAACACAGTCCTAAAATCTGCTACTTAATTTCTATTAATCACACCTGCTAGACTGTTTCTTTTGAAAAGGCCTGGTGACGGTTTATTCATTTTAATCACTACAGAATTATTTTTGGGTGCAACACATGCCACAAGTATAAAAGAATACAGTCACTATTGATGATTTTTCATATTTGATATAAACATTTACTAGACAAAGAATTTGACATAGTGACTGGACTGAAATGTTTAAATAAGATAGACAATAATGTGAGGGTTGGTTTCAGTATATGTTCTAGACAGAACAGTGAAAAGCTTCTGCAACCTCCACCACTGTAAATGGATTACAAGCGGACACTTAGTCCATGCTTGCATAGGTTAGAAATGGGGAAGCAAAACTGTTGAAAGAGAATTTCCGCAGTAACTTTAACCTATATCTTCATCCAGTTGCTGTCTCGCACTGAAACTCTCTTTCAAAAGCTTTGTCAAGCGCCTCTCATGAGGGTCCTGCATCTTTAATGATTGTTGCAAACGGAATAGTTTAGAAGATGAGACCTTCAATAAAAAGTTTCTCCTTACAAAAAAGTAGGAATGCAGTGTGTCCAGTAAACATATAGGAGGCCTTTTCTCCCTTTTTTTCTGCATCGGAAGTGGCTCCCGTCTTAACAAGGTCCCCAGCCCAGAGAGTGAGCTCCCAGCAATAAAGTCAGAACACTGTACTCATTTTCCTTTCTGTAAACATGTTGATATGTACTGAGTTAAGTTAATTAAGTCTGAATCAAATAAGCAACCTGAAAAAGAAGCCAATTTTGGATCATTTTGGGGAATAATGCATGAGTACTCACAGCTGTAATTTTGGCCTTTCCTCTAGATTAAGTGGCAGCAGCACAATAAATTCATAAAAGAATGCTGCTCCATAAATATCTTTCTGCTCATCCCAGAAGTCACTAAAGCAAAACACAATACAATGTTTATGTGTGAAAGCTCTTCCTCTGAGATTACCCGACAAATGCAACCCAAATATCTTTCAAAAACTCAAGTGCCACACATACATGTGTATCAAAAGGAGGGAAGCATGCTCCCACATGACTGGAGGTGAACTAATGAGAGTCTGATGAGTCACATACTGTACATCCCATGCAACAATACTAAATGAATTCTGGAGGGTTTCTCTTTTATAACCACCTGAAGATGCAAAAGGTAAGAGATTATTTTTTTTGACACATAATATATGCATGCAAAGAACCTACTCTTCTTGGTTCCATCATGTGAAAACATCTGGAACAGACAGGAGCTTCCCTATTCTCCAAGAGCTCAACAAGTCTGGATAGTAGAGACAGTTACAATTATCATAGGAATTATTGTTTTGTTACTATTATGTAAAGCGTACAGTAGTTGCAGCAGTGAACACTGGGGGATCCTAAATACTGCAGGAACATAGTTGTATGCAGTGCTTCACTGATATACAAGCTAAGGTTCAATGAGAATATATAGGGTTACTGTGCACAAATCACATTGGCATGTTTAGAAATAGAAATGTATGATATCTTATAGCTATATTCAAAATTATTCAGCATTTGACATTCTCATGCATACAACCACAAGAAGCGAGTCCATTGAAAAATAGTCCAAGCATTGTTTTTTTTTCCTGTGGAAATGGCAAATAATCTAATGAGACATTAAAACATGTGCTGCTGTCCAGAGTGTGTGGATTACAGTGAGAAGAGGAGCGAGCAGGGAGAGCTCACTTCTGCATGTCACACTGCAACAGGAGCACGATGGACGGGTCGCCTTTCGCCGCCTCTTTGAACTCCTCCAACGAGATCTGGTCGTCGTTGTTCTTATCCATTTTGCTGAATATCTTGTCCACCCTCTGCTGTGGTGTCAAACCATCCTCGTTCATCTTCATCATGATCACAGTGCCCACCATTTTGTAGATAGCCTGTTGGTGAGGCGCAGTGAGAAATTAGCAGAGGATTGTTTCTTATATAATCCAGTGATGCCTACATGTGTTTATTTGTCCATAAAGATAGAGATCAATGATCCTCAACAATGGGTATTTGTAACCTAGGAGTACTTTTGCAGTTTCCAGAGGATGTGGAAAGCTCAATAAATTAATTAAACTAAACAAAAACCAATCGGAATTGTAAATGATCTAAAAAATATATTTTTATATATTCCACATATTTGTGCAAAAGAAAATAGGATAACAAATTGATGGGATGCTAATCATAAATTTACAATAACATAAGCTGCCCATCAAACTGAGTCAGTCGTGGCACATTAACACCACGTGCTGCAATTAAGAGTGCATGAAAACTAAGCAAGCAGAAAAGTTTAAATAGAAGTTTAAACATTTGAAATACAAATGGGTGACAAATGAACTGAAAACCAACATGAAGTTTCTTAGTTAGGCCACCTCGAGCCTCCAGAACAACTTTAGTGTCCCTTGCCAAGTCTGTGGATCTCAAATGGAGGAGGAACACTATTCCTCCACAAGATATTACCTCATTGACATACGCAACCTGTGAAACCAGGTTCAGATCTGGTGACTGTAAAGGCTGTGGCATTTTATTCATGTCATTTTCGTTTTACATGATCATGATTCACCAAACTACTCACTGATCCCTGGTACACGGAAGCTTCTGCATTTGCTATGTTTCTCCTCTCTTTTATTAAGGTTTTCCTTTAATTTGTCCCCTGTCTGTTGCTCAGTAATGTGTAAATGATCCATCTTTTGCCACTCAAGTGGTAGTAATACTATATGAATGTAAACATAACCAATGCAATGTAAACAGTGACTATTCTATTGCATGAAAAAATAATAGTAATAGCAACCACTGATATAATTAATAGTGTTAAATAACATCAACTTTGGCCAATGAAGGGGTACTTGAGTTAATCTAATAGGGCTGTGGGACAAAAAAGGTTGGGAACCACTGATGTAGCTTTGGAATAAAGCACACACCACATTTATCGCTACAGGCATTTTCTTTGGCATTTCCTTCGAGTTAAGTCTGTTATTATTCCTGGCAATTTTAATATCACTATATATCGTATACTGTATATTATAATGTTTTATTGCTGTACTTTTACTGTGTGAGTGTCTTGTTGTTGTATTAAACCTGTGAAGCACCTTGGCCATCCTTGGTTGTTTTAAGTGTGCTATATAAATAAAATTGATATTGATATTGATATTAAGTATGCTCCAGTATCACTGAGACATAGGCCAGATTTACTATACTGACTGTATTTCCAGAAGTGACCTAATGTAATCCAATACAACTGCGACTTTGATCATTGTGAAACTGCCTCTGTACTCATTGCAGGTGTGCAGGAGGCTAATAACAACAACAAAAACAGAGCCAGTCCCCTGATGAGCCAGGGTTTAATGACTTGATATTCCCTTACCTCGATTATCTCCAGCATCTCCACTCTGGTGATTTTGCCGTCACCATCCAGGTCATACATGTTGAAGGCCCAATTGAGTTTCTGCTCAAAGCTGCCACGGGATGTGATGGACAGGGCGCAGATGAACTCTCGGAAATCAATGGTGCCATCTCCGTTTTTGTCAAAGGTTCTGAAGGCGTGTTGTGCAAACTTTGATGCATCGCCGTAAGGGAAGAACTGCAAATGTGAAAGAGATGTGTTTAATAATTCAGTGAGGGATTTAAAAACGTCAGTAATAGCAATAGTTTTATGATGTATGAATAGCCATGGCATGATTCAATGTTCAGACAGAAAAGAAGCAGATGATCTTTAGGCGGTGGTTCACACAAACCTTGACATAAAGCTGCTGGAACTCATCCAGATTCAGCCTGCCAGTGGGGCAGTCTTTCAGGAAGCCTTTGTACCACTGCTTCAGCTCATGTTCATTAAACTCTGTGTTCTTCACCAGATCCTCCATCACCTCAGGAGTCAGCTTGCTGTTCTGCTTTCCCATGGTTCCTGCAGTGCAAGAACACGTGAATACTGCATTTGTATATGCTTGAGCGAGTATGAAAATCTCTAGCACAGCATAGAAAACTGCCTTTTTATTTCTTCTTCAAACATGAGTACAGAGAGTAAATGTGTGGGATGTTTGTATGTACCACGTGTGTGTGTGTGTGTGTGTGTGTGTGTGTGTGTGTGTGTGTGTGTGTGTGTGTGTGCGTGCGTGGCGGGGGGGTGGTGTTCAGGCAGCTAAATATTTCTGTGCTGGTCCTCGTGTTCTATTTTTGTCCCCTCATCCTGCTTGTGCCAGTCTGTGGCCCGGGTAGCACTGACCTGGATCATCACTTTCAAAGCAGATTCAGATCATCAAATGTTCGATTGCTGCTATCAAGTTTCCACTGCAAATACTGTCCTACAACCTACAACCTGACAGTAACAGTAAAGCATGTGCTTGGTTGTAAGACCAAGACACCGCTGCAGTAAATCTAAAGAACTGAGTGAGGACAACATGCAGGATGCACACAGAAGACCTGCTGTAATCTGGATTAGTGGGGAATATAGCTCATAACATGTGGTCTGTATATATTAAGACAGCTGTGGGCAATCCACAAACTAATCAGCCTGGATTAGTTTGTTATCCACACTGAGGGGCCTCAGTAACAGTCATGACAACTTCAGCAACCTTACCAGAACAGCCTGTCAGAAGCCCCAGATTCATAAATTATCGACTAATGGTGTGGCAAATTATATAAATTGGTCAACAATGCGTCAATTCTCAATACATAATTTAACAAAAGAGACAGCAGAATAATGTTTTGCATATTCGAACACCATGCACACACTGTGGGAATCTCCATCACTTGAGACCAACATATGGTCCACATCTCTGCAGCAGCATGACAGCAGGCTGAACAAGCTCCACCACACACAGCAGCACTGCATTGGCTCGGGGCCTTGCACAACAAACAGCAGAACTGTGTGCTGCAGCCAAAATCAGTGCA